TCTTTCCTGCACCAGATTCTCCACTGGGGTATTAGAGACACATTGTCAAGATTCTGCTTCATTATCATCAAATTCATAAAGATTTTGTGTTAGCAATACTCACGTAATCAGGACAGACTGGTTCTCACGATCTGAAATGCAAATATACATGCTGCACTTGAGTTCCATTTTCACTGTTTCTTCGGTAAGGGGTGAAATTCTACATATGAAATTCTATATACATTATAACTTTGATCTTACCAGTGAGCATGAACTGATAGGCATTGTCAGAGATGGAGAAGATGTGGGGTGGAGCCTCAATCCTCTTCTTTCCTCTGTATGCTGCTACACATACAGCATCATACACTGGAAGCCACTTGTAGGGATTCACGACGACACAGAACAACCCAGAGTAGGTCTGTAACAGTAGAGAGCATAACCATAGCATTACAGTAACAACTACATATTAGATATATACATATTTACATACATATTTAATTAGCGTAGTATTGTAGAAACTTACATAGATCATCCATGATGCATAACGCTCTTTGAGGTTATACAACACGCAAGGCTCATTGAGGTGGGTCATCATGGCCATGTCCTCAATTTTGTCAAACTTTGGAGGGTTTCTGGGGTGAATGTCATCCTCTTTAACAGTGACAGTCTGAAAAGGAAACAGTAAAATATTTACTGAGAAATAATTTTCAAATAAAAAGTAAGTAGTAAGTAAGTAAGTAAATTTTATTTATATAGCACCTTTTACAGACAAGGTCACAAAGTGCTTTACAAAGTCAAAAGATAAAGATAAAAAAAGCTTAACAAATAGTCAGTTTGAATGTAATATACAATTCTAAATAAATATTTTACTGGATATTTTCCTAAGCTGTAGATTTTAAATAAATGTTTTATACAAAAAGTGTCTTGGGTGAAAGCAGATTTGGATATTTTGGTTAAACATGTTAAAATAATGAATCACACCTACCTTTCCTTTGTCTGTCTCAACTGTGGCTTTGCCACCCTCTTTCTTCACAAGTTTACCCTTGACATACATTTCCTCAGGATCAATCACAAAGTAGGCCGTTTTGGCATCAAAAGGAGTGCTCTGCGCCTCAATCCTCTCCTTTTCTGGCTTCCGGAGGTAGATGGCCGCCGGGCCATATTGCTCCATCTCCGCGTCTGTGCTCATGGTGGCACTTTAGTCGAGACTGAAAACATGAGGGTCCAAAAGACTTCATTTTAATATTAACACATGAACATAATGCTGCTATGGTCTTGTATCCATCTCATTGAGATTTCATGTTGTTTAATGATGACATCTTTTACCTCAGCTCGTTCCAGAAAAGAGAAAGTGGTTCAGTTTCTGGTGGAGTCTCAAGGTGCTATGGGAAGATGATTAAACATGAGCACTAAAACTTGTTTCAGTTTATTTAATCTAAAATTTAGTCAGGGAAGCTCAATCAATTTGAAAACAGCAGAAGGTGAAGATCCTGAAATATCTTCAATCCTAACAACCAAGTGCTAACTGTGTTCAGATGAATCATTAGCATTTGATACTCTTCCACCCTGTCAACTGCCCGTCATAACTAGAACCATAGTAACTGTGTAATTTTTTTCAAAGAACATTCATTCATTCATTTTCTACCGCTTAGTCCCTGAACGGGGTCACGGGGTGGCCGGAGCCAATCCCGGCCGGCAATCGGGCGAAGGCGGGGTACACCCTGGACAGGTCGCCAATCCATCGCAGGGCTAACACATAGACAAACAACCACACACACACACACACACACACTCCAATGGGCAATTTAGAGACACCAATCAACCTAAGCTGTATGTCTTTGGACTGTGGGAGGAAGCACGGGGAGAACATGCAAACTCCACACAGAAAGGTCCCGGGTGGGGCCCGAACCCGGAACCTTCTCACTGTGAGGCAACGGTGCTGCATACTTCTTAAATTTGTTAAGAGATGATTAAATAGAAATGAAATCTGAAACCAAGGTACCATAACCATATGGTCATATAAATAAGTATTTAGCAACACCCTAACTTTACCAGTTAATGAATAGCAGTACAAGGTCATAGGTCATAGTCAATGCACTCACCTGTGTGGGGAGCCTATCAGTTCAACCAGAAGTCCAGAGCTGCTTCATTTATAGAGGGTGGGAGTGCCAGGTCAGCAGTAGTCTCTCTCTTGGTTTGGTCATGCCCTCTTCTCATCCTGTTGCTTATTTATGGCAGTGATGTTCAAGGAAGTGGTATACATAATTTTTTGTAACAAAAAAAATTACTTGAATATACAGCATGCATTATGATGTTATACTAACTGATTTGATTTGATTTGGTTGTAGCTTTGGATGTGACCAACACAGTGTGGGTATTAAAATTTAATTTAACATTCATAATTAACATTAATTAATGCTTGCACCAGACAATTTTAACTACAATTTAACAGTATTTCTACTGCAACAAAAAATTAATTGCAGTATCAAGGAAATAGCTGATCAAATTAATGCCCACATTCAAGTTGCTGTATTCCAACATAAAGGGACTTCAGAAGACTAAATAAAGCTTCAGTGTCTGCTTAAGGAATCAACAATGTAAAAGTATGTAGAAGGAAAGATGGTACTTGTGCTTTTTTCCATAGATTATCCAAAAATGTTACACGATAGCTGCTCTAAATCCTGGTCTACTGCTGCCTCCAAGTGCAGGTGTGGAAGTCAAATGTGTATCATTCTCTAAATAGTGCGCCGTTTAGTTTACAGACTACTCCAAACAATATCATTCTTAATTTAAAAGGGATTAAAGTTGAAACGTTGTGAATGTTCGCAAACTATTTTTTAAATTCATTGGCAGCTTTGGGTATTGGCTTTGGAAAGTCTTCCAAATTCTGTTGGTGTTCAGCTGCAGGGCACTTGTACTTTTGAGATACCTCAAATGAAAGAGAGTAAATAGTAATATTTACCTTAAACATACATTTAGATGTTGTACTATGTCTGGTGAAAATAACTCCAAATGATTCATAATGGTTATCATTTTAATGTTATATTTATTAATGTCTTTTGTGCAAATCAAAATTATATAAACATTTAGTCAATAATAGCTGAAGAAATCTGTATATGAGGTGTATAGTTGTGTTTCTGTGCTACGGAATCTAAATCTAAATCAGTTCTGTAATAAAATGGATTGCATCAAATTAATGATTTAACATGCATGTATGAAATTTAGTTTTGGAAATGACCCTAAATGTTTGTGGTCTACAGTTACATCACACTAGCTCATCTTGTGTTTCAGTAATAAAATTAAAGATGAAGCCCTCGCCATTTACGTTTTATCACCTGTCAGCTCTCTAGATGGACATGAAAACACTTGGTAAGTTATTTGAGATCAGGCCCAAAATAAATTCTGCACAAGGCAAAATGAACCGGATCCAACTGCCACGTCTGACAGGCAGGGGCATCTGTTAAAGCAACACGATTCAAGTGTCCTAGCAGATTTTCAGAGCTTATGTTCATTTCTGAGTCAGAACCATTGGTAGACCACAAAAACATATAATTATAGAAAGCAGAAACACCTATTTCACTTGTGGATGACAGTTTTCTTTTTAACTTATGATGACTTGGTTCAAGGTAGCTCATACTGATTTGAGCAGATTGTGCAAGGACTCAATGTGCCCATGGAACCAACACCCGTATGTTCCATCACTCTTTGTTCTAGTGATACTGATGAGTTGCTTCAAAACTGATAAATTATAGATCTAATAATGGATGTATATCATACTATATGTACTAGTGTATTAGTGGAGAGATGATACACTTATTTACTAGGTAAACTAGCTCACAGTCTTTGACTCTCCTTACAGTGATAGCTCTAAAGAAGGAAGTTCAAACTTTGCTATACCTGTAATAGAACTCTGCAATACAGGCAACCTCGATGTGCTTCAAATCTAAATATAATTGAAATAAATAGGTGATCACTTGAGCCCATAAGTTATATGTTGTTGTTCTATTGACATTTGGGATTGGGGATTTTGCTATGGAGAGAAATCAGTTTTGGTGAATTGGTGATATTTGCTGTTTATGTGACATGGACGTGTTTACCCAGTCACCGTATTCCCCTTATAAATTGCAAGTATCTCTCACTCAAAATCCCACAGGACTAGAAGATGATGGGTCATCAAGTGTGAGTGAAGACATCCTGCTCCAAGATTCCAAGACAAGCTTTAATTTCTTCCACGAGACATGGGGCACTTATGTGATGTGGCACCCTCCATCTGTGACATCCCAAATAGGGCATGGCATGGATGAAGAGCAAGCCTGTGGCTTTTTCAATTCCTAAGCAGAATTTGATACTTGGAATGTAGTCACATGAGAAAAAAAACCCTTAAATATTCTCTTTTATAACTGCATTTTCAAATTAGAAAATGTTTCTCTCTTCATATTTTATAGTGGTTTTAGTAAATATTGATTTTGAAGTATTTATGAATATGAATTCCATTTTACTGCATGGTGTATAATGGAGGACAGATATAATGGAAAGAAATATGGATGGAATATGGAAAAGTAGTAATGGAGAAGGAATCTGGCCAGCAATATATATAATTTAAATAAATTTATATTGAACCAATAGACTAACAATTGAAATACTAGCCAGATAACTTTTGATAAAGTCTAATGGCCTAAAATCTTAACAGTGTATTTTAGGAACTGCAGCAATACCAGATTCTGCTTTACCCTTTCACTTCACATTTTCACTTCAACTTTCTGAAGCCAAGAACAAAGGGAACCAAGCTTCCAAAAGCAGTACCATTTTTTCCATTTTGTGCATCATTATACTTTGACTTTACAAAATTTCAGGGGGATATACTATACTAACACTCATATTAGTACAGTTCTGAGTACCTGTATTGTACCTGAAGATGTTACAGCATGGTTAGTTGCTCTACTTTGTTTTGGACTACATTTTTTGTGGGAAATCAAAAGAAGTAATCATCAGAAAGAACACGACAGGAATCAGGGTAGTAATGACTATTATAATCTTTATTTAAATGTTAAAGAGTCCCCAAGCACTGGTCCATATTTTATGAACTCTGTTGAAAGGCCTTGGCTGGATGATGACTCTTATTCAGCAGAGTCAGCCTAAAAAAAAAAATTAGGGAAAATCAGTCAGTAATAGCAAATTGTCAAGTTTAGAAATCAAGTAACCTAATAATTTTTTTTCTTTATTCAAGTGCAAATTCAATAATGAAATATTTTTGGTATTGTAAAAGGTGCAATATTGATTTACTTTTTCAGCAGTGGTAAGTGCACAGCATCAAATCATTATACTATCTTCTAACATCAACACATCTGATGCTGTAATTATGCAAACAATCTATAACGTTGTTACCTTTCCAACATCACGGCTCTTGGCTCTCAGCTTGTTGACCTGGGACTCAGCGATGTCAGCGCGCTCCTGAGCTTCCTCCATCTCATGTTGAACCTTCCTGAGCCTGGACAGGTGGGTGTTGGCCTGCTCCTCCTGTGAAGGGTTTAGGATTATACTGACTTACTTACAAGACAGTTAATAGTGATAATATTAATAAATCCACTTTACATGATACAGTATGTTTCATTATGTCTTTGACTCACAGCCTCCTCAGACTGTCTCTTGTAAGCCTTGACTTTGAGCTGAAGCTTGTCCACCAGATCCTGGAGTCTCATGCCATTCTTCTTGTCCTCCTCAGTCTGTACAGATAAAGAATTATGCAATAAATGTAAAGAGTAAAATAAAAAAAACATTCAAGGGAAGTCAAGATAGTTTATTAGTGGGAATTACCTGGTAGGTCAGCTCTTTTACTCTCCTCTCATATTTGCGGAGACCTTTCACTGCATCAGCTCCACGTCTCTGCTCACCTTCAACTTCAGCTTCCAGCTCACGCACCTTTAAAATAAGAATTATGTATAAAGATATAGTACTATATGAAATGAATAAATCAATGAAAGTTTGATGTGCCTTCAAAAACAAAATGTTGTTTTACAGTTCATACAGTACCCTGGCCTCCAGTTTCTGGAGCTGCTTCTTGCCACCCTTCATGGCGAGGTTCTCGGCCTCATCCAGACGGTGCTGCAGGTCCTTGACTGTGACCTCCAGGTTCTTCTTCATCCTCTCCAGATGAGCACTGGTGTCCTGCTCCTTTTTCAGCTCCTCGGCCATCATGGCAGCCTGAAATAATGGGCAGTTTGGAATTATATTTTTGAATGTATTGACACAAATGGTCAAGTTTAAAAACACATTTACTGATGTTGCATTTTACATAAGAAGGAAGACTCATAAACCTAAACTCACATCAGTGATAGCCTTTTTGGCTTTGTCCTCAGCATTTCTTGCTTCCTGGACAGCATCATCCACTTCACCCTGAACCTGGACAAGGTCAGCCTCCAGCTTCTTCTTGGTGTTAATAAGACTGGTGTTCTGGATGTTTAAGAAAAGTCATGTTTAACATAATATTTAAACTGTTTTCAAGACTAGTGTCCTGTGAATGCATGAAAACAAACCTGAGAGTGAAGCAGTCCAACACGTTCACTGGCAACAACCAACTCCTGCTCAGCCACTTTGCGTCCTCTCTCAGTCTGCTCCAAAGCAGCTCTCAGCTCTTCAATCTCAGCCAGCATCAGGCCATTTCTGCGCTCCACCATGGCGACCTGCTCCTTCATGTCTTCCTGTCCTCTCAGAGCCTCATCAAGGTGCAGCTGGGCATCCTGACAACAAAAAAGAAAACACATGAATGTACCTTCTGTACCCTTTGAACCTGCTTTTTACCTAAATGATCATACGGTCCTCACCTTGAGCTGTCCCTGGACATTCCTCAGGTGTTTCTGGGCCTCAGCAGCCTGCCTGTTGGCATGGCTCAGCTGAATCTCCATTTCATTCAGGTCTCCCTCCATCTTCTTCTTGACTCTCAGGGCATCATTCCTGCTCCTGACCTCAGCATCAAGAGTGGTCTGCATGGACTCAATCACCCTCTGGCTGTTCCTCTTGATCTGCTCCATCTCCTCATCTTTCTCAGCCAGCTTCCTGTCAACCTCACCTTTGATCTGGTTGAGCTCAAGCTGGACACGAAGGATCTTGGCCTCCTCGTGCTCTATTGTGCCCTTAAACATTCACATATACCAAATGTTTCATATAAACACAGTCAAAATGTATACATGGTTACATATAGAGTGTGCTATTGTATTTTAACATGTAAGTGTAATCAAGATTTTACTTCAGCTTCCTCCAGTGCTGACTGAATCTCAGACTTCTCAGTCTCCACTGTTTTTTTTGCTTTCTCCAGTTCATGGACAGTCTTTCCAGACTCACCAATCTGTTCAGTCAGGTCCGAGATCTCCTCTAAAGAACAATTAGAAGATACATAGTTAGAAGGGGATCTTTTTTTACAGCAGGTAGGTAGGATGTTTAAGTATAACATACAGTAAGTTGAAAGGAATAATTCGCCTTTGAAAGTCATAGAATGGACCACACAAATGAGATTTTAGTGCTATTGACATACGTTGCAGATTCTTGTTCTCTCTCTTCAAGGTCTCCAGATGGTCCAGAGCCTCCTCATAAGAGTTCTTCATCTTGAAGAGTTCAGTGCTGAGAGAGCGAGCCTCCTTCTGGGCTCCTTCCAGCTCTGCCTGGCTCTCCTCACACTTCTGTTTCCACTCTGCAAGGACCTAGTAATATATAGATGAGAACCAATTATTATGGTAGTGTTTTGTTTTACTCAGATCAGTGTGGACTTGATTTTCTGTTACCTTATCAAAGTTCCTCTGCTTCTTGTCAAGGTTGGCAGCCAGAGCATTAGCTCTCTCCACATCAATCATGAGGTCCTCCACTTCACCCTGCAGCCTCTGCTTGGTCTTCTCCAGAGAGGCACACTTGGAGTTCACAGCCTCAATGGATTCCTCAGCCTCCTGCAGACGCTGGGCAAGCTTTTTCCTGAAGTGAAAAAGGATTTTTGTTTAGAAACCAACAGCTGAAATAAAAACTAATTTAAACACTGAAAAGACAGTGACTTACTTGGCCTCCTCCAGCTCCTCAGTGCGCTGGATAGCATCAGTCTCATATTTAGTTCTCCACTGAGCCACCTCACTGTTGGCCTTGGACATTCCTCGCTGCAGCTCTGCCTTGGCCTCCTGCTCCTCCTCAAACTGCTCTCTGAGCAGATCACAGTCATGGCGGGCAGACTGAACAGCATGGGCCAGGGCATTCTTGGCCTGTTGAATGTAACAGCATATTAACCGCATTATGTTTGCTTCACTGCTTGTGGTGTGGGATTTTAAAATATTACAATACATTGTATGTATGTTGAACTAAATCAATTCAGCCCCTGTTAAAAGGTTAAAACCTAAGAATAGGAAACGTACCTTGAGTTCCTCCTCAATGTGTCTCTTGAGCTCCTCAATTTGCTGAGTGAAGGCCTGTTTGCTTCTGGACAGCTGGGAAACAACAGCTTCTTTCTCCTCAAGCTGGCGGGAAAACTCACCTGAACAACAATATATAAACAATATAGATTATATATAAATGTATCAGTGTGATTGTTACTAATTTTCAGTACCAGTTTTTATTACAGGTGACTCACCATTCTCTGTCTGCAGTCTCGCCCTCTGTACATTAATGTCATTCAGCTGGCGAACATTCTCATCATTTTTGGCTTTGAGCTCGCTCATCTGATCCTCAAGAGTTCTACACATTTTCTCCAGGTTTCGCTACAACAACAAATATATATGTTATGTATTTCTCTAACCTTAAGGCTACTGCAATATTTATTAGTTACATTTCATGCTTTACATGTCACAACCTAATGTAAGGCAAATCCCTCACAGAATATAAGAAAACTACTCACCTTTGCTTTGGCAACAACCTCCATGTTGCTGGAGAGGTCATCGATCTCCATCTTGTACTCACTCTTCTCCTTCTCCAGCTTTTGCTTGACACGCTGGAGGTTGTCGATCTGCTCTCCCAGCTCTGCAACACTGTCAGCTTGTTTCTTGCGAAGAGCTGCTGCAGTCGCTTCATGCTGCAGGGTCGACTCTTCAAGGTCACGACGCAGCTTCTGGAACTCAGCCTCACGCTTCTTGTTCATCTCAATCTGAGTGGCTGTTGCTCCACCAGCTTCCTCAAGCCTCTCACTGATCTCCTCAAGCTCCCTGGAAAGGTCAGCTCTCTGCTTCTCTACCTTAGCCCGAGCAGCCCTCTCAGCTTCAATCTCTTCCTCCAGCTCCTCAATACGAGCCTAGATATGATCACAGTAACATCAAGAAGGCTTACTGACTTAAACATGTTGATTTTGACCCACTGTTTAGTGTTTATGTAAAACAATGGTACCTGGAGTTCCTTGATCTTCTTCTGAAGCTGAGCTCCAAGGGACTGTTCATCCTCAATCTTGCTGAGGAGCTGGCTTATCTCAAAGTCTTTCCTTTGTAGAGGAGACAAATAAAGCTTAGTTTGTCTGTTTATCAGAGTGTAATGTGTGAGCTGCTGAGAAGAGGATTAATAAGCTAAAGCAAACAAAAACCTACTTCTTGATTTTCTCGTCAGATTGCTGCTTGTCATTCTCCAGATCCATGATGGATTCCTGGGCCAGTTTCAGATCTCCTTCAAGCTTCCTCTTGGCTCTCTCAAGGTCCATGCGGAGCTTCTTCTCTTGCTCCAGTGATCCCTCAAGCTATAAGGTAACAGTTATTACTGATGATTTAAATCTGATCTTTGATATTTAGAAGACAGAGCCTCACTGCCCAGAATAATTCATGTTACTATAGGGCTAAACCAGAAAATCAAACTGTTGTTTGCTCACATCATCCACTTGCTGTTCCAGCTTTGTCTTGGCCTTGCTCAGAGTGTTGACTTTGTCTTCCTCTGCCTGCAGATCATCCAGTGTTTGCTGATGGGCCTCTTGGAGGGCTTTTTTCTCCTTGGTCAGTTTGGCAATGGCTTCATCTTGAGCTGCCATCTCCTCTGTCAGGTTTTTCACCTGAAATTACATCATAAGGGCATTATTTCCATTTGATTATATTCATTTATATGAAAAGTAGAACACATATGTTCAAATTTTTTATGAATGTGTTATTTGCACCTTGTTTTCAGTGGCATGTTTCTCCTTCTCCACTTTAGCCAAGGTGAGCTCCAAGTCATCAATGTCTTTCTTCAGCTCAGAACATTCATCCTCCAGCTTCCTCTTCTTTGCAGTCAGTTCAGCATTGATTTCCTCTTCATCCTCCAGTCTCTCACTTGTCTCTTTGAGTTTGGCCTCCATCTGGATCTTGCTCTTGATGAGCCCCTCACACCTTTCCTCAGCATCAGAGAGGTTCTCAACTTCCTATATTACATTTTGAACACACAATAAGTTACTTAATTAATAATTAGATAGTTAATAGAGTTCATGTTTGTTTAACAATCAAGACAAGAAGAGTATTTGGTCTCATTGTATCTCACCTGCTGTACATAATGTATACAAAAATGTGAGATCTTTACAAAACTGGTTTGTGCATTTGGTCTGTGTGTATCTGATTTTGAAGCTGCTGTTCACCTTCAGTTACTGAAGACGCCATTTACTGTATTTATATAGAGAGCCGATATGCATATTTTACTTACTGCAGCCACTTGAAGTTGCAGGTCATTCTTTTCCCGCAGCAAGGCAATCATTTTCTCCTCCAGCTCTTTCTTCTTAGCCAGGGCAGTAGTCAGGTCTGCTTGCATCTTCTCATAGTTGTCCTTCATCTCTTGCAGCTCCTTCTCAGTCTCAGCACTCTTCAGAAGAGGCTTGACCTTGAAGTACAGTTTCAGCCATGGCCAATTTTTCACATTCATGAATGAACGGAGATTGTACTGGATGGTGAAGATTGATTCTCTGGAAAAATAAATATCAATAAAATTCCACTTTAATTGCTTTATGATTATGCAAATGGAAGAATAGCTCTGTATTTTTCATGATAGTCTTACCTCCTCTCCATCATCTTAACAAACTCCTTCCTCATGACATATCCTCTGCAGAGGGCCTGAGTCATGGTCACCAGTGCAGCCAGTTTCTCATCTCTCATCTCCTCCAGAGTACCCAGCAGACCAGCTTTGAAGAACACCTTTGTTTTAAATGAAGGAAAATAGTCATCAGCACGCTTGGATACAACAGGATGGCTCCCGGTGTAAAACTCTGATAATACTGTATTTAAAAAAAAACAACCTTTGTGTGTCCAAACTTGTACTGAGTGTGGTCCACATCAATGGAGCCCAGCAGCTTCTCTGAAGCTTTCTTGTTGTCAATGAACTGTCCCTCAGGGATGACACTGGCATTCAGTACTTTGTATCTGCCAGAGGATAATGATTTTGTTAGGTAAACTTTCCTTGCATCTTTTGGTAGTGTTTACCATCACAATATCTCTACAGAAATCAACTTGACTTCCTTGTAATGAAATCTGCACTAACCTCTGCTTGAAGTCACCATAGAGGATTCTGCTGGGGAAGCCCTTTCTGCAGATCCTGATGCCTTCCAGCACACCATTACACCTCAGCTGGTGGATGACCAGGGAGTTCTCCATAAGACCTGAGAGTTGAACATTTGTATATAACATAAACAGTATAACATACTGTTGTGCAAAAAGTAGGACTGTTGTCTTCTTACCTGGGGTCTTTGATTCATTGGGAATCAGGCAACGGACAAAATGAGGGTGAGTGCTCCTCAAGTTGGTCATCAGCTTGGCCAAGTTCTCCTGTGGATCAGCAACATGAGCTAAGAGGTCAGGAATTATTTCAACATGATTTTTTTTTTACTTTTATGCAAATATATGGAACAATACATACTCTGAAAAGAGCAGACACCGTCTGGAAGGAGCCACCCTTCTTCTTACCAGCCTTCTTACCTGCAGCCTCTGTTTTAAAAAAGCATTCAGTTTCGTTAATGGGACTAAATGCATAACCGTGGAGAAGAGTCTTAAGTTTTCAGAGTTTCTTGCCTTCACTTACAAACTTACTGCACCCTATGAAACATTGTAACCTGAACTTAGTCTCATAATGCTTAAGGCTTACAAAAAAGGACCTATTTTAACCAAGTTGATTACTTGCATGTTTAATAGTGGAAAATAGCTTTGAAAATTTTAGTTGAAAATAAAGGGCATTTCTCATAGTACAATCACGGTATTTGGCATCAGTATCCAAACAATCATTTACTGAAATGATGCATACCATTTTAATGGATATGATAATGTGATTTTTCTGCTCATTCTGAATTCTTACCATCAGCTCCAGCATGGGCTGCATACAGATGAGCAAGCAGTTTGTTTGAAGATTTCTGGTAGAGCTGAACAACTGAGTCATTCAGGGGGTCCTTGTTCTTGTCCAGCCAGCCAGTGATATTGTAGTCCACTGTACCAGCATAGTGAACCAGGGAGAAGTGAGCCTCGGCTTTGCCCTTTCCAGGCTTTGGCTTCTCAAAGCACTTGCTCTTGCCAAGATGCTGGTCATGCAGCTTGTTCTTGAAAGTTGTATCAGAGGCCTTGGGGAACATGCACTCCTCTTCAAGGATGGAGAAGATGCCCATTGGCTGAAAGGAAAATATATTATAGTAGTGTAGTGGTTAAAAATAAATCAGATTCCAGAAGAACTATGCCATAGAACAGTATGTACTTCATATATGGACATTATTTGTACTTGTTTTATTATCTGTACTTATTTGAGCTGAGTGGCTCTGGTTCATTAAGTACATGTGAGTTGGGCATGTGATTTGGCAAACAGGAACTAGATGCTTCCTGTTTTCGAAATCCATCTCAGGGTGTTGTCTCCCAAAACTGAAGACAGGAAGTTAGGTTTAGAAATAGACGCAACAGCATAAGGGAGGCGGCTGATAAAAAAGAGTGAGCTGGAGAGGAGAGAGAAGGAGGATCATGCTACCGTGAGCAGTGTACCACCAGCCCGGCCTCGGAGGGCTGGTGGGAGACGGCGACTGACTGGGGCTGACTGACTCGGGACTGGCAACCAATGACCTGACTGACTGGTGTTTAGTCATATGTATTTGTAGATGGTTCATGTTTTTCATGGTTCTTGTCATTACCTGAGGCACGGTCTGACCTTTAGTCACCATCTCGTTTCCGACCTTGACTCTTGGGTAGCACAGAGCTTTCAGCATATCAGCTGAGTTCAGGCCCAAGAGGTAGGCGATTTTATCAGCCACTGATGGAAAGAAAGACAATGTGTGTTTAATACACTTTGAATTGTTATTTTCTGCACCAGAATACTTGTATGATGAAAATATTATATTGGTAGTTACCCTCAGTGCCATCAGGTTCAGCCTGCTCTTCACGCTGCTTCTGCTTGAATTTCATGTTGCCATGATGCATCACAGCGCCAGTCAGCTTGTAGATACCCATCTTCTCTTCAGCAGTGAAGCCCAAGATGTCAATAGCTGTCTGCATTGCACATGGAAGAAAATAATTAACAACTATGGCGTTTTATTTCTTGGATTCCTAATTTTGCATTCTCAGTATAATTATGAATTGATGCTTTACATCTGTAGCAATGAACTCCTCCACATCATTGATGCTCTTGACAGTGATTTCACCCTGACTGATCATTGGGTAGTCATAAGGATTGGTGGTGATCAGAAGAGCCTCTAGAAGAGCAGAAATAAAATATATCAGATTTTATTGACATATTGTTTTAAAATTCAGTTTCAGGTTGTCTATTCACATACCCAAAAGCTCAGGCTTGTGGCCAGTCATCAGCTGATAGAAGATATGGTAGCTCCTCTCAGCAGACAACTGGAAGGTGACACGGGACTTCTCCAGCAGATCTATGAATAACAAATCAACATTTTATAACAATATATTGCATGCATGATATCATACAGCTTCAACTCACATCATACCCAAATGTAAATTCAAACAAAGTTGACTAAACAAAGTGTAGAAAAGGACTCACATGTTTCAATATCAGCTGAGGCCAGTTTGCCAGTGGTTCCAAAGTGAATTCTGATAAATTTACCCTACACACATCAGATATATGTTAGTAGAATTCTTGATATGTAGTTCAAAAGGATAATGCTTGTTTTTTTTTGTCTTTTTAACACTTACAAAACGAGAGGAGTTGTCATTTCTCACAGTCTTGGCATTACCATAAGCCTCTAGCAGAGGGTTGGCTGCAACGATTTGGTCTTCCAGTGAGCCCTGCAGAAGATAATATATTAATATTTAATATATTATTATAATAATATGTGTTGTAGATGGATCATAAATAATCAATAAACAGACACATTTCTTCAGTAAAGGCAACAGTTACCTTCATTTTGCCAGGTGTTGGCTCAGCTTTCTTAGACGAAGTCATTGCAATTATTGCAAAGTACTGGATGACACGCTTGGTGTTCACAGTCTTTCCTGCACCGGATTCTCCACTGGGGGTAGACAGAGAAATCTGTTATTTGTTTGTTATTTTCATATCTGTAAACGTCCAATAATGTTATTCGATTATGCTTACGTGATTAGGACAGACTGATTCTCACGATCTGAAATAAACAAATACTTGTCTCATTCAATACAATATATGGTTATAATAGAGTTACATTCTATGTCATATCTGTTATGTTTCATTTTGTGCATCAGGTAAAGATACGTTCATGTGACCACTTCTTAAAATAAACTCTCACCAGTGAGCATGAACTGATAGGCATTGTCAGAGATGGAGAAGATGTGGGGTGGAGACTCAATTCTCTTCTTTCCCCTGTATGCCACAACAACCTGTTCATCGTACACTGGAAGCCACTTGTAGGGATTCACGACGACGCAGAACAACCCAGAGTAGGTCTGTAACAGTAGAGAGCATAATCATAGCATTACAGTAACAACTACATATTAGATATATACATATTTACATACATATTTAATTAGCGTAGTATTGTAGAAACTTACATAGATCATCCATGATGCATAACGCTCTTTGAGGTTATACAACACGCAAGGCTCATTGAGGTGGGTCATCATGGCCATGTCCTCAATTTTGTCAAACTTTGGAGGGTTTCTGGGGTGAATGTCATCCTCTTTAACAGTGACAGTCTGAAAAGGAAACAGTAAAATATTTACTGAGAAATAATTTTCAAATAAAAAGTAAGTAGTAAGTAAGTAAGTAAATTTTATTTATATAGCACCTTTTACAGACAAGGTAACAAAGTGCTTTACAAAGTCAAAAGATAAAGATAAAAAAAAAGCTTAACAAATAGTCAGTTTGAATGTAATATACAATTCTAAATAAATATTTTACTGGATATTTTCCTAAGCTGTAGATTTTAAATAAATGTTTTATACAAAAAGTGTCTTGGGTGAAAGCAGATTTGGATATTTTGGTTAAACATGTTAAAATAATGACTCACACCTACCTTTCCTTTGTCTGTCTCAACTGTGGCTTTGCCACCCTCTTTCTTCACAAGTTTACCCTTGACATACATTTCCTCAGGATCAATCACAAAGTAGGCCGTTTTGGCATCAAAAGGAGTGGTCTGCGCCTCAATCCTCTCCTTTTCTGGCTTCCGGAGGTAGATGGCCGCCGGGCCATATTGCTCCATCTCCGCATCTGTGCTCATGGTGGCACTTTAGTCGAGACTGAAAACATGAGAGTCCACAACAGTTTTAAATGCTTTGGTAGTGTTTGGACCTGACCATTATGGATGCTGTACTATTGCTGAAATGTCTTACCCCAGCTTATCAGAACTGAGTGGCACAGAGCTTATGCTGTCCAAGGATACTGTTAAAGAGAGAATAAGATATTCATTGAAGAAGACATAAAATTAAAATGTTTGTCTAGTGGCTATAACAGGAAGCAGCAATCACACTACTTAAATTTTAACCCATTTGTAGGCACCCTTTCATGACTCTATAACACTGTACAATTAACTCAGATATATGAGCACCTATACCATGGTGAAAAACATTTTAAGGTTTATCCAAGTGTTTTTATTGTTCAAAGAATATTACATATTCACTGTAAAGCTTTTTCAAATGAACTATTAGGAATAGTTGCAAACTTTATTTTGAGATATTTGTAAATAAAATTTTTGATCAATGGTTTAATTTCTTAAGGATTATTTGACATGAAAAGTATAACAGAGTTATGTGATATTAATGTCATTTTAAGTAAAAGCAAATTAGATAAGCCCAAACACACACAAAGCACTAACCTGTGTGGGATGCCTGTCAGTTGTCAGAAAAATTTGAAGCTGCTGCTTATATAGAGGCTGGAACTGCCTGGTCAGCAGCAGTCGGCCTCTCAATTTGGTCAAGCATCCCTGACATCCTAAGACCCATCTTGTGTCATTGCTGGTTTGGCAAATTTTTTTTCGTTGTCTAAGCTATAACATATCTTAACTGTAAAAAAAAAAAAAAAAGTAATAAAAAAACAGAAAAGTGGTAAAATAATCCTGCAACCCAGAATTAAGATTTTAGTAAATGTCCCAGACTAAAGAATTAAAAAGAAAAAAGGTAATAGAACATTTTCAAATTTCATTATTGCATGAGTGCATTTTATTTATTTTTATATCATACATTGCATATGATATGCAGTATTATCAGAACATAAGTGATTTCACAAATGACTATTTAAATAATCTATTAAGGCAGTGGATTGCCTTTTGAAACTCATAAACCAACACTTAAATGTCACTGGTATTGAGTGTCAGAGCTTCTCCACGTTTCAAATATTTGAAACACAGTAAAACAGAGAGCATCATGTCTGTTTATTCTGAGTATCGCAAGTATTAGAAAAATAACACTTAGCAATGTAATGTTAAATCCCTCATGTATCATATTAATTTTGAAGTGAATATCATGTAATCATTAGACTTAATTTTTATTTTGTTCGTCTAATTGTGACAGTAATGCCAAAAATATGTCCCAAAATAGATCCTGATTTCTGAATCAATAATTTATTCTAATTAATAATTTATTTATATAAATTTATATTCTGACTTGCAAGAGAGGGATTTCATCATTCTATGATGAGACCTTGAACCTACTTACCCTGTTCATAGCCAGGAATGAAACTTACATTTGGAGAAGCACTCAAGTGGTGCTGGTATATGGTTGCAGGACACTGGCACGCCTCCCATTCCTCTAATAAAACTGAATGGAAGGCCTCCATAAAGTTCATGTGGTGTCACACCTTGCCTTAATAGGACAGCAAGGACACTGGCCAACCAGACTGAGATAAAATCTATATTAAGTCTCACTGGGATATCAAAGATCTTTATCTTCACACTATGTTTGATTCTAAGAATGTTGTTGCTGTTATGGAAATATATACAGTCAATGGTCAAAAACAATGATTCAAGGTACTTAGAAGGAGATTAATTCAATATAAAGATATAATTAGTAAATATGATAGAATGCTTAATAAATAGGATATAGTTTTTAGTAGTTTAATGCAGTGATTCTACACTCCGATACAGTAGGTGGCGGTATGCCCCTTATTGGTTTGAGATGGTCACTCCGTGACGAAGCCGGAAATATCACTTAAGACTACACGTTTGGATACAAGCCCAAGATAGTGTTAGCTAGAATTAGTGGTATTTTTCTTTCTTTCTTTAAATAACGAACGGTTAGTGCACTCTCCACTCACCCTCTAGGAACAAATGTCTTCGTTAAACGGAAAACCGGATGTTATATTCGTAAGTTACACTATACAGCGTATTGTTGCCTATAAGCTAGCAGTGTTAGCTGTCTAACTTTTGACGGATTACTAGCTTGGCTGTGTATTAAACAGTGTTGAAATTGTTTATGCTTTGTTAGCTAGGAATCGGGGAGATTTGTAGTTAACTCGCGGTTACTGTTAATTTATTCATGGCCATCTTAATTTACAGTGACATTGTTAACTCGAGAGTAATGATATGCAACTGCGCCTTTGCCAATGTAACTAATCTTTTCGAACCATTTGAGCGAGCTGTTATGTGCTGTTGTCTCTGGCTGTATTAGGAGGACGATGACCTGCCTTATGAAGAGGAGATTATCAGGAACCCATATTCAGTCAAGTGCTGGATGCGTTACATCGAATTCAAGCAGAACGGACCCAAATCCACCCTCAACATGATATATGAGCGGGCTCTCAAAGAGCTGCCTGGCAGGTAACAAATACTTAATGGAAGGTTACAATGAAAGAATCGACACTGTACAGAAAAGCAGGTGATCAGTACGTGCAAGAATATTTTAGCCTTGCAATTGAGTTGGAACATTTATCAAGCATCGTCACAGATTAAAATGTGACGAGCACTGTTAAAACCATTAGATAGGTTTTTGGTCATTTGGGTGTCAAAATGGCCACAAAATGGGCTTACGATCTTGTGCAACAACAGTTTGCTTATATTTAATAACAATTTTCCCAATTTTTACAGTTATAAATTGTGGTACAATTATCTGAGGGAGAGGCGGAAACAAATCAAGGGGAAATGCATCACTGAACCAACCTATGAAGAAGTCAATAATTGCCATGAAAGGGCGCTGGTGTTCATGCATAAGGTAATACTTTCTATGACATTACACTGTGGGTGTTTGCACAGTTTAAAAATATACATCACTATACTGTGGTATGTGGAAGTTGTACTTTAACTTAACCATCTGTCATTCCTTCAACTAGATGCCTAGAATATGGCTTGATTACTGCCAGTTCCTTGTGTCTCAGTGCAAGATCACAAGAAGTCGGCGAACATTTGACCGAGCACTCAGGGCTCTTCCTGTTACTCAGCACCCACGCGTCTGGCCTCTGTATCTTCGCTTTGTTCGTAACCTGCCCTTGCCTGAGACAGCTATCCGGGTATACCGAAGGTACCTTAAGGTGAGTGCATGTTATACAACGCAGTTCCATACAGCAGTTGTTTCTGATTACACTGTATTTGTATTTGCACACTTTCAGTGGCATATTATAGAACTGGATCTGTCTATAGTGTCTGGAAAAGTGAGTTGCTCTTTCTGAGTTTTCTGCCTTTTTTTCCTCAGTAAAAACTTTTTTTTGGGACAGTTTTTCTTTATTGGAGGATCTAAGGCTAGAAGTTGTTGTATACTGCACGAATTGAAAAGCCCCTTGAGGCACGTGTGATATTGGACTACATACACAAAATTCGGACTTGCAGATATGGTGGGTCTGAATATATGTAAATATTTCCTGTAAATGTCTGAAGATTCTCAGCCAAGTCAAAAACTACTGGATTTGCTGTTTTAGTCTGTTTCATCAGCCATCCCAATTGCTTCAACAATATACTGTATAGAGCTTTAGTGTAGATTCAAAAGTGAAACACAAAATCTTATTTATTCTAATTATATGATTACTATGGGTGAAATTACTCTTAAAAAGTGCTGTCAGTAGATTGTATTACATTTAAGTGAAACATTTTCTACATGGATCAAAATGCTCTGTCCCCTGTTTGTGTAACATAGCTTTCTCCAGAGAATGCAGAGGAATACATAGACTACTTGCGCTCTGTTGGCCGGTTGGATGAAGCAGCTTTGCGACTAGCAGCTGTTGTCAATGATGAAGGCTTTGTATCCAAAGAGGGCAAGTCTAACTATCAAGTAAGATTTTATTATCATCCCACGCACCTTCCATTGTGCCTCTTTATTAAAGCTAAAATTGATATGTTTTTTTTTTTCCCCTACATTTTATTCTTTGACAGTTATGGCATGAGCTATGCGACCTGATCTCCCAGAACCCTGATAAGGTGACCTCTCTGAATGTAGGAGCCATCATCCGAGGAGGCCTCACTCGCTTCACAGACCAACTTGGGAAACTTTGGTGCTCTTTAGCTGACTATTACATCAGGAGCGGCCACTTTGAGAAAGTGTGTTTCCTCTAAAGAACTGTAAAGCCCTTAATATATTGCTTCTCTGCTTTATATAAGCAAATCAGTTCAGTTAAATTGCATTAACCCTAACTTACTGTGTCAATGTGACATATGGACTATAACTATGTCTACTTACTTTCTCAGGCCCGTGATGTGTATGAAGAGGCCATCCTTACAGTGGTAACAGTAAGGGATTTCACACAAGTGTTTGACAGTTATGCCCAGTTTGAGGAGAGCATGATTGCTGCCAAAATGGAAACCACTGCTGAGATGGGACAAGATGTAGATGGTATGTGTGGAGTAATATTGGTAACACCCCCTGGCTTTTCCTTCTCTTGTTGTGCATGCTTTATTCTTTGTCCCTCTCCTCCTAGATGACATAGACTTGGAGCTTAGACTGTCCCGCTTTGAGCAGTTGATAGCCCGGCGGCCCCTCCTCTTGAACAGTGTTCTACTGAGGCAGAATCCTCATAATGTCCATGAGTGGCACAAACGGGTAAAACTGTATGAGGGCAATCCACGGCAGGTGGGTTTTAGGTCTTTCTCTACATTCAACATGCTATTTGGACAAGGACAGTGCAAAATTAATAAACACCACACCGGTAACACTGCATTTGTGTGGTACATTACTGTGAATTTGTGCTCACCGTGTTCTTTGCAGATCATCAACACATACACTGAAGCAGTGCAGACTGTGGATCCAATGAAGGCCACAGGGAAGCCTCACTGTCTGTGGGTCTCCTTTGCTAAATTCTATGAGGAGAATGAGCAACTGGATGATGTAAGTCACAGTGATTCTGCAAACCCTCTGTATTTAGATTAGATGTGTTTTTTCTGTCCTTAATATGTCTTATATTTACTCACTGTTATTCAGGCTAGGACAATCTTTGAAAAGGCTACCAAGGTGAACTACAAGCAGGTAGATGACCTTGCTGCTGTGTGGTGTGAATATGGAGAGATGGAGCTTCGCCATGAGAATTATGAACAGGCACTGCGCATACTGAGGGTAAGACACTTGAATCTGCACCTGCATTCATTTTTGTTTAGGTACAGTCAAACTAGTAACACAATTGATGCTAGTAACATCTAGTGGCAGGACAAAGAAACTACAACAACATTGGTCAACTTTTGTTTTTCTCCAAATATATTTTGAGAGCATAGTTTCAACACTTGGTAACTGATACAGTTGTACATACAGACCTGAGGCTACTTATCATAATAATTTTTGGTGTAGACGTCTGGCATGTTGGTTGCTTTGTCTGAATCTCCCTCAATCTTTCAGACATTGCACAGATATACACGCTTGGTAGTTTAGAGCATTCACAACAAAATAAATGTGGGGCAGTTCTGCTTGTGACTCTGAGCAACAAAGAAATAACAGGCATTAATTAACCACTGTGTTGTTAAACTTGCAACTCCCTGCTCATGATGGCAGTTTTGAGCAGTGATTATAATATTCCTGATTTACCTTTTTGAATATATTAATGCAGTTATAAATATTTATATTTTGTGGATATAATTGTAAGATGTTTGTTTTGTGTATAGAAAGCTACGGCCATCCCATCCAAAAAAGCGGAGTACTTTGATGCATCTGAGCCTGTCCAGAACAGAGTGTACAAGTCCTTGAAGGTCTGGTCTATGCTGGCAGACTTGGAGGAGAGTCTTGGCACTTTCCAGGTATGGTCACTATATCTGTGAGTTTCCAGTATAGTATATGAGCCAGCAATGTACAGTAGGTTAAACTCACATGGCAGATAAATTCTCAGATATTTAGCATTGGTCCTCTTGGTCAGTGCGGGTTGGAGGGCTTTATCCTAATGCTTTTCCCTTTTTTGTTTTTCTTCCCAGTCTACAAAAGCAGTGTATGACCGTATTATTGACCTCCGCATTGCCACGCCACAGATTGTCATCAATTATGCCATGTTTCTTGAAGAGCACAACTACTTTGAAGAAAGCTTCAAGGTAATAACATGTTGCCAGTTAGCTAAACCAACATTTATTTTCAATATTTGTTAAAGCCTTGCTCTTTTAAATATTTTCCTTTCTTGCTAACACATTTTTAGGCGTATGAGCGCGGTATTGCTCTCTTCAGGTGGCCAAATGTGTATGACATCTGGAACACTTACCTTACCAAGTTCATTGATCGTTATGGGGGCAAGAAGTTGGAGAGAGCTAGAGATTTATTTGAACAAGCGCTGGATGGCTGCCCTGCCAAGTTTGCCAAGAGTAAATAACATTTGTATATCTCTCTCCCCCCCCTCCCCTTTTTTTTTTAAACAAACTGAAACTAAATGAACTACTGTGCCTTGCTTTTCAGCCATTTACCTTTTGTATGCCAAATTGGAGGAGGAGTATGGATTGGCACGACATGCCATGGCTGTCTATGAAAGAGCAACACGGGCAGTCGAAACTGAGGAGAGACATCAAATGTTTAATATCTATATCAAGAGAGCAGCTGAAATTTATGGAGTTACATATACCAGAGCAATTTACCAGAAGGCTATTGAGGTATGGTGGCATTGTTCTTGGCTCTTAATGAAAAACTAAGAATACCTATGATGTCTTTAATAATCCTTTTTTTCTGGTATATGGAAAAGAACCCACAAGTTATGTTATATGTTTTTGCTCATTACTGAAATAACTAAAATGAGAATTGTCTTTATACAGGTCCTTCCTGATGAGCATGCGAGGGACATGTGTCAGCGGTTTGCAGACATGGAGTGTAAACTGGGTGAGATTGATCGGGCCAGAGCAATCTACTCCTACTGCTCCCAGATCTGTGACCCAAGGGTGAGATAGACCACCTGTTACCATTACGCGGTTTTGAAATACAGTGTCAAATTTCTATCAGTGATGTCCACATATGTCTTAATTCCTCTTGACACATGTATGAACTTAATCTTTCAGGTGACAGCTAACTTCTGGCAGACCTGGAAAGAATTTGAGATCCGCCACGGAAACGAGGACACCATTAGAGAGATGCTTAGGATCAAACGCAGTGTCCAAGCCACCTACAACACCCAGGTCAATTTTATGTCCTCTCAGATGCTGAAGGCCACAACAAGCTCCACAGGCACTGGTGAGTGAGCTGGCATTAACTTGTTAACCTTTGACCAATATGGGCTAGGTCTGTGAAAGGACTGTACTGGTCCCATATGGGACACTGGGGGAATGTTTGAAAATATATTGATAAGGTCAAGTAGCCATACATGTAACATATATTTGTCCCAAATCCTGAGGTTACACCCCAGTACTGCACAAGAATCGATGTACTAATATATTTTTATAAAAAAAGTCTGTTTGCCTAATTTTTTTTCATCTTCTGTCTAGTGTCCGATCTTGCTCCAGGTCAGATGGGAATTGATGACATGAAGTTGTTGGAACAGAAAGCACAGCAGCTTGCTGCAGAAGCCGAGCAGGACAAACCCAAGCCCAAAGAGAAGATTCTCTTTGTCAGGTTTGTTGTCATTTTCTTAAATCTCCAATTAACTTGTGACTTTTATCAAATTGGACTAAATCTTCAGCAAAATGAGTCATATTCTCTCCATCTGCTTATGCAGGAGTGACACCTCTCGCAGTGAATTGGCTGAGCTTACCAAACAAGCTAATCCTGATGAGATCGACATTGATGATGATGACGATGAAGATGATGACCAAGGACCGGATGGTAAGTGACAGACAGAACAGGCCATGCCTCAGCAGTAAAACAGAAAAACATAGTGCTTGTTTGTTTGTATGCACAGGTTTTATTGATGAAAATACATTTATTGATTATCTTCTCCTCTTGGACTTTATAGAGGTGCAGCTTGAACAGAAGAGCGTACCTGCAGCTGTGTTTGGAGGGCTTAAAGATGACTGAAAGATGCTCTTGCCTACTGAAAGATACTGTCTTTTGATTTCTCTTGTAGTCATTGATTAGGATTTATTTTAAACTTTTGTAAAAGTTCTGTCATATTCACCTTATTTCAATCGCATGTTATGAGTGAAAATTGTTCATAATGGCAGCATCTGTGCCTTAGCTGCATTTTCCTTCTGGGTTTTTGTACTTTAGTCTACAAAGAGATGAACAAACCTGTATCAATTTTGGCCACATGGTGTCAGCATGACACTCAAGATAGTACTTCAGCATTTTTGTGTTGAAATAAAATACTAATAATGTGGTTTCATGATAACTATAACTGATGCCTTATATGGATTGACTTTCTTTAACACTGTAAAATAGTCAAGTATGGAAACACTTATTTACACATAATAAAGGCAGAAATCTGTCTGACCACAAGCTCTGCCCTAGAAAACAGAGGGGAGGAGCCTAGTTTCTTCAACAGGGAGTACTCATTTCAAGTGTAGCTAAGTATTTAAGATTCACAGTATTAGTAGTTGAGTATCCTGCAAAATCGATATATTAAACTCATTCTCCAGTTCTACATTTATTATTGTACAAACACCCTCAAGTCATGTGACTGGCTAATAGGGGTGCTGTAGAACATTTAGGAAACTTCATAATTCAAAACCCCTGCGCTAAATGCTAATTTGGAACAGTTCTTAATCCCTGTTATAATTGCAGAGGTGAGCTTTTTGGCAGCATGTAATTATGCAGCAGCAGTTTTTGACAAAGGCCAGCTGATCTTTTTGAATCTCTGAATCTTTGCAATGTCTTGAAAACCATAATGTAATAAAAACTGATTTAATACAGTACATTTTATCTGACTGTTTGTCAGTGACAGAGGAGACAGTCATAGAAATGCAGGGTAGGAATTTAAAGGAATGTTGAACTGAAACAGAATAGAATAGACTTTGTCATTACACAGTCATGCGCAATGTAATTAGTATGCTTGACCAAAACAGAGTGCAATAAAGACTATTAAAGAGATATAAAACAATTACTAAACGGTATAAACAAGGTGCAGTGTAAAGTGACAAGTGTAAATTTGAGCTTATCAAACAGGAGCGAGGTAGTCAAGTTTCCCATTAAAACTGCTCCATAAATATACATCCAACCCATGTATGATGGAAGATATAGTTGTGGGATTTATATAGTACAGATGTATGTCAGTATTTGATGGAAATGATTTTGTTTTTAATTGTTGATACCCCATCATAAGACTAAAATTGATAGGGTTGGAAAAGATGCTGAGCAGGAAAAAAAAGGGGGGGTCTTTCATAATTAGATTAAAATAGCTGAGAAGTAATCCTCTTACAAAGTCACTGTAGTGGGAAACTTGGAGAGCTCTTGAAACTTTGAGCAGCATGTGATAAGGTGCTCCTGAGATTTCTGCTTTTCAGTGTGGATGGTAGGTGCTAATGCAAACTGGAAAGAAACTCTGGAAGCAAACAGCTTAATTTTCCAAAAATTCACCGTTTTTGCTGCATACATTGATTTGTATGCTTACTATGTTCATACAAATCAATGTATAAAATGCAATGCATTAAATGTTAAAACCTGACATCACCTGGTGTTTGCATTGATAAAAGCCTGTTAACAAATATAAAGTTGTAAATGTAAACTAATGGAGGGTGAGAAAGATGTTAGTCATGTTCATGGATGTGGTTCGGTTTCAAGAAAAAGGTCTACTCAGGCAAAATTTAAGTATAGAGTCCTATGTATGAATTAGCTTCAGCTGAACAAACTGCATTAAAACATCAATAATAGTAGCCCAACTCACAAATGTAGGCTAGTATTCCACACTTAAGAACTGCATAGACCTATACTTTCATATTTTCACTATGCCTAAAATATGCTGATTTCACTCAAGTACATGTAGAATCGGAGACTTAACACATTTTGGAGTATTGCGCATTGTGGCCTTACAACTTCCTCGCCACTGTTTAAGCACATGTAAAGCAACAAATCCATTGCAATAATCCCTCATAGGTCACTTTCAGGTGCTTGATGTTCCCACTGAAAATGTGCCCCTTCCGGCGTTCACCTGCGCACGAGTGACGCACCTGTAGCAAAAATCACACCATACCTCTACTGCTGTCCGTGTCCACACAAGAAGATCCCGCCCTCCTTGCTCACGCTGGATTTCTATTGGACGGTGGGATGAGTGAGTGATGCCAGTGTGGAGCACCTGGGAGTCAGTCATCGGTGAGTCCCTCACTGGAGCTGCGTACCGTGAAGTGGCTACACAGCAATGCGGACGAAGAAGGGCAAAAACGAGAGGAATAGTCCGGGTTGATCGGGTCTTGGCTGGGTGGTAAAGCATAATTTACCAGGGACTTCGTTTCCAAGACCACGCAGACGAGGACGTTAACTCGCTTGGAAACAGCTCCGGGGGCGGATATTTTCCCGATAAAACCCTCACCACATCCGTATACCCAGCCCCGGTCGTGTGGAATAGTCAGCTAGAAGAATGATTGCTTGAATATTCATGTACCGTTTTGTAGCCTGTTTTTGTCAGCACTCTTAGCATTTTTCACAGACACGCTATGGTGGACTCCTCTACCATGAGGAAGACGTTTGTGGCCCCAGACATAAAGCCATTGGATTTGTATGACTGTACTAAAGCCAAAATATGCGCAAGTGTCGGATGGCTATTGGCAAAATCCTATGGCAATGCAGGTAGGTTTTAGCTGAGGCTGCAGGCCTGGTGAGGCTGTATGAAGACCATCCTTTTGTTGTTCATACATGTGTCTATATTCTGTTAAGCTGTGTTAAGTTAGTAAAAAAGCATGTAGGGGAACTGCAGTAGGCTAACATTATGTGTATAGCTCAGCGATTTTCAGCACAAAGAGCAGAATATGAGAGGGGACACGCACTCCAAGCGTTTTTACTCTGACACATGTCATTTGTTCGAGCTCAATGGGTGTTTATAGGTATGGGTGTTTGACAGAAACAGGCCTCCTCCCTAGGCCTTATCACGATAACCCATTTTGACGTATTTCTAGTCTCCAGGCTTTAGTCAGAACAGGCTTTTGGGTATGTTTTTAATCCGGTTACACAGAAATGGCACATGATTTTCAGTAGCCTGCCTTCACTTTCAGTGACTGCCCCTACCATCCACTTTGTAATCTGAATCAAATGGCTGCATGCAGCTCATTGTACTGAATCAGCTGCAGACTGTTGTATTGCACAAACAGGGGTCTAACAAACTTCAAGGGGCGCTTGTGAGAGAGCATCCAGCCTCTATGATGCAGAACCTACACATAAATCATTTTTGTTTCATAAAGTATACTTAATAAGACAGTTTGACAAGCTTTGACTCTGAGGTGATACGTTTAGTCTTAGAGCCCTACCTGATTAAAACTCACAAAGAAGACACCAAAACAGTTTTGTGTGAGAAGCCTTAGATGACCTGCTCCCTTTCATTTTATTTTCACTTTGCTTTATTGAAATGCTGCACACATAATGACAGGGCACTGTTATCTAAGGAATATTGGCAGCACAAGATAAAACTAAGCGTGCATGCATGTGCATGTAAATTAATGCTTAGTTGGAGGTTATTGGTCAAGATTTTAAACAGAGAACACAGTTTTTCTTAGGTATAGAGTGTGAGGTAAATTCATTATTACTTTAACAACACAAATTGTTTGTTACAAGCCCTCGGTCCAGGACTACAGTCTGCCTCTGCGTCTGTTCTCTGTTTAGCAGTTCAGCCACGCCCTCTGGTCAAAGTCACTCTCTATGCCAAGTCACAGGAATATGAAGACTAAAACTTTGCTGTGTAGTCTTTGTCATAATCAGCTTAGTGCCCTTGCTGATAATTTCCTGCAAAGTCGAGATGACATCATCAAGTCCCTTCCGAGAAACGAAGCTGGGCAGAACAACAGATAGCACAGCGGGAGCCAGTCTGGGTGATCTGGTTCCTTCCAACACGGTTAACCTAATCATGACGCTCAGGGATCAAAAAGTACAACATATTCTTCACACAGCACATCTAGACCTATTCATATTTAAGAATTTCATGGTAGATATTTGTTTGCTCAGTACCTGGATACTGTCTTATTATATTTAGCTCTGCTTTGCCATATACTTTGTGTATAATGTTTTCCATAAGTGCTTAGGCATGGATTTACTTTATGATCCAGATGCTGTGACAGATTACTTAACAGATTAATTAAGCATGACTCAGAATACTTTGTGCCTTTACACTGCAATGAGACCAGAAATTCTTGATTCACCAGTTTGTAGGCTTGGGAGAAACTTGGTCATAAGGATCATGTGTTACTGTTTAGTTTTCCTTCGGAGGCCATGCTGCTAACACAGTTTGTGTGCCTTTGTAATCCATCTGTAAACAACCTGAATAACACTTACGATAAAGTGTATGACTCAGCTTATACATTGGTGTCTTCTTTGTGTTTGTTTTCCTTACAGTGGAACTAAAAGACCTTGTACATGCGTGCTTCAAAGGTTTTGTTTCTTTAGCATGTTAGCTCCACCTAGCTACAGAGCTGCTTGGATCACACTGAAATCCAGTTGGAATGACTGCTCACCCTTTCCCAATCATTGTAACTATGGTGAGTCATCAAGGGACAAGGACCTGACGAGGATGTTGTCATGCTATTGGTGTTTACTTAAGGCGTAGGAAGTCCTACTGGAAGCCTGTACAATATGAAACATCCAGACTTGGGCAGCGACGGGTATGACTTACCCAGTGTCTTTAAAGGTAATGTTTTATTGTAAGACAAGGCACTTACCACACCCCATGGGGAGGTCAAAGGTCAGAGTAACAGTACACACAGACCTGGTTAGCAGCTGGTGTCTAAGTTGAGAATGCGTCCTGCACACTGTCATTCACTGTTGTCCTGTTAGTCTTTAAAGCACCTATAATGTGATCAGCACCGTCTCTATAGGATGTGCTTTTGTGTACACTGACCCTTTAATGCAAGGCAGCTGTGCTTATGTTATACTACAGCTCTGCTTGTGCTGATGTGCTGCAGAGACCACATGGGTTTTAGGATGCTATATTTATCCTGTGTTCATAGGGGAATTATATGTCTCATGTGGATTCATTGAATTGTGCTTTTTCCTTCAGAGCATGAACTGTTGGCTCATTGATCGACTAGATGAGCGCTGCTTATGAGCATGCATGTGTAATTTTCAGGTTCAACTACTGTCAAGATAAAGAGACTAATTAGTGCAGTTTAAGTTTAGTGACGGTTTGAGATATTTCTTTAGGCTAGTAGATAATATATGCATATTATCAGATTGTGTCATAGTCTGCTTTACAGTTAGCTATTGAAATATGCTATTTTTGTTGTTGTAAATGAAAGAGTACAGTCTGAAGATGTCTGTCTGCCTTGTCCAAGCTGTGGTTTAATGTTTATTTTGGCATTGGCATTTCTCTCAGAACTAGTGGTCACATGTAGAGTGGGGTGTTAACGTAGCCCTTCTCGCCACCGCCAGATTTTGGGGGAACAAAACAGTACCTGCTTTGTTCTAAAAATGAAAGCAGATATTCATCTGTGTCTGATTCCTTCCGCCACATGTTGAGGATGTTTATGGCTCAGTTTTCCAAGGAGGATTTAGAAGTCATAGCCAATAGCCTTACCAAGTTATTTTGCTATGTGTTCTCCAGAAGTGGCACGGCGAGTGTCACTGATTGGACAGGTGTGCACTGAAGTCTAAATATGACATGGGGGTTGAAATGGCTAATCTCGTCATTTCAATGTTTTACTTATGTTTTTGTCCAGTTCTATGTATCTGAGCTCTTTTGAATTCTATAATTTGTGTAAGGGTTCCTGAAAAGCTCCACTAAGCAGCTTGACCATTTAGACTGTCAAGTCCAATAGCTACTTCATGCTCACTGTTACTGGGACAACCTTTTTGAAGTGGAATGATGATTGTTTCACTGGTGGCGTCTTGTCTAACGTTTTTCTCACAAAGGAGCCCGCTTTGGTTAAACTGCGGCTGATATCCACTAGCCACAGTTTAGATGTGTTTGTGTTGCTTTGTCTCTGTTGATTACCTTCAAACGTGTACTAATGTCCGTGATATGACCAGTAAGCTAGCTCAATCAGCGAATGAAGTAGAAGTTAACGGGCTATTGAGCGATGCGGGTCAGTACATCAGCTACATCAGTTCCATCATATACCTCTTAAAAGTTTAGCCAGTTTTACTTGACTAAATATTGTGCAGACTGGTCCATCAGTAAAACTGTGCTGTGTTTTTTTCTTTTTTTGTGTCACACTGTGGCACTGCTGTATTAAAAAAAATCTGTTTGATTTCTTCTTGGACAGGAAGGTTAGAGATCAGAGGTCAGCTACAGCACATCACTTGGCTGCTGCTCCAGTTTAACACACATGCTTGTGTTTTCAGTGTAAATATTTCCCTGGATCTCTGTTAATATGAACATTATAGAGATTTCACACTTCTTTTTGCTTGGGTTTAGTTCCCCTAAGGCTGCCAACTTGTCATTAGTTAGGATGTTTATCCAGTGGTTGCTGCTTTTTTTGATGAGTTGGTGCATAGTTTTGGAAAAGTGGGTATGGATTTGCAACTGTAAATTTGTTTCCAGTTGTCTTTGTGATATACTATATGTGACACAAAGTCATCATTCATGACGGGACTGTCTTATAGGGAAATCATGCTCACACTGGTCTTACTTATCTCAGCGAGTCGAGGCATTTGCATCCTGCTTTGCCTTCTGGGGAAGTTTTTACTTTTTGTAATATTTATGCATGTCATTATGGGATGACTTTTTGTGGACCTAAGGTGTAAATTTTTTAGTTTAGATGGTCACAGTGTTTACATCAATAAAGTGAGCATTGTAGTTTTGGAACAGAGGTGCAGGTTTATAATGATATAAAACATAGTAACATCTTCCTTATAGTAATTCCCTTTTGTTTCTCTGTTGGGCCCAATCTTAGGCGCTCACAAACATACATGAAATACCTTTAATTTTGTCGTTTCTATTTTCAGACACACATTTCCTTTTGTCAGTTTTTCCCCCCACTCCCTTTAAAACAGTGAGATGCTTTCTCTAATATGTTTGCATAGTTTGGATGCAGAAAAACTAGTTTCACAGAGGGTGTGTCAAGTGTGGGTTTTTTTTAGGATAATGTTTGGTGTTGGACCTATTTACAGAAAGACCAGTCCAGATGGATTATTTAACAATCTTCCAGCAGCTACACTCTCTGTTGCTTTACTACACTTCCTCTGAGGTGAGAGAGAGTCACTTCTTCGCTTTTGATAGTTTTGTGGATGTAGATTTCAGTGAGTTCTCTGGTTTCTGCTTCCAAGTTTAACATAATCCATGTGAAGCAAGGGGTATAAAAAAAAAGAGATAAAACAAGTGGTAGAGCAGATTCCACCCTCTGAGCTCTTCATGCCCCACCAACCTTGATAGTTACTCTGCTCTATTCACTCATACGATAACAGCTCTGGTTATTCACCATTTAATCTGTTTTGACCCTGGCAGAAAGCTGGTTTCCAAGCCAGCAACAATAGAACATCTTCAAGTTAATCTTTGGCCGAAGAAATGCTGCTAATGTGAGAACATCCTCGCCTTTTCAGAGCATTTACACCTTAGTCTTATTTAGACATCTACCTCAGCTATTGTTTGTTCATTCCCTCACCAGGTTGTGTGGTTCCACCTCTGCTTCACAAATGTATCACCCTGTCTCTGTATGTTTTTCCTCTTGATAGAGAATGTCCCCGCAGAGTTGCGTGACCCCTTCTACCGTGACCAGTATGAGCAGGAGCACCTTAAACCGCCAGTCACACGCCTGCTGCAGTCCTCGGAGCTCTACTCTCGGACCTACAGCCTATTACTGGGGGACACCGGAACCAAGACAATACCCAAAGACAATGCTGCCCTGCTGCAGCTCCTCACTCAGAGAGGCATAGTCTCTAAAGACCAGGACACACCAGTGACTGATGCGGACCTTCGGCATAAACCCATCAAAATGGTAAAGCTGTGTTTCTGGAATAGATTTGAATAGGTTATGTGAATACATGCAGTTTGGACTGAATGGATAGATTCAGAAGATGCTTGGGTAAACTGTTTTCTACCTGTTTATTGGCCCAAACAGTGAATGTCTCCTCTTGTGGAACCAGGTGCTCTGCTATTCAGGAGCTGTAGATAAACAGGATGGGTCGAGTGGGCTTAGCTGTTGATATATGGGCTTGTTTATGCTTTGATTCTAGGGATTAAAGGACACCAAAAAGACCCCCACTCATTCAGCCCTGCCCTCATTCTCATATGCCGCCCTCAGCTGGTCCCAGGGGATGAGCGTATCCTACTGCTAAGAGTATGGCAGTCATGGTTTTACAAAGGAAGACTACTTTAATTCCAGGGAGTGAGAGGGAGGGAGTGTCTAGGTGAAATAGGTGGTCCAGATCAGAACAATAGCTAAACAGTTGTGGTGAAACTCTAGATGCTGTGTTGAAAAACTACTCAAGAGAAACTGGTTTGTCCACCTGGCCTGTGACAGTGAGTGACTCTCTCTGTCTCTTTCTATCGCTCACATAAAATAGTCATAAGTTCTTCAGCCTGAAAACCTACAGCCAGTCTAAGTATATTTATTGCTTTTCTGCTTTAGCTGACAGAACTCTGACTCACTGTAATTCACTTTTGAAGTATTCCAACACACCTTCCCTTTATGCAGATTATTATTTAGTTAGGCAAAGACATACAACTGTATTTCCCCAGTCATCTTGGTTCAGGCACAAACTGGCTAATTAAATGTTTTGAAAGCTAAGCAGAGAGTCTCCAGGGACCTGTATGGAAAGTGTTGTTTGGTGGAAGTGGTGTTCTCCACTGCTGCAGCTGGTGCTGTTGAGATGATAAGCTTAATTTTATGTGTGAAAAAGTGTGCGAGCATCAGGGCCATTTTCTAAACTGAGCATAAAAATTGTGTGATAATTAGTAGTCGAGCCTGTTGATATGTGAATGGTTAATGTACTGTTGTGATGTAGCTAATATGATACAATTAATGTAAACACTGACAAAATTAAAGTTTGGACAAGGCAGATTGGTTGTTTTCTACTGGTAAAGATGGAAGAAATGGCACGATGGAAGGTTAGGACAGCATGGAGCGGGTGCCTTTTTAAAGGGGGTTTCCTTTGTATTTATTAGGCTGTTGCCTAATGTTTCTGCCTTATTCTGTAGTACTATTGCTTTATCCACAAGTCATGATCAGTCAGTCTCAGTACTCGGCTACCTATTTCCATAATTTTGACTAATGCTATATTTATGGTGTTTTGGCTTAGGTTTGTGAGGTCGTATAGTCATTCTAGAGGTTTGCACAGGACTGTTTTTTTTTTGTTGTTTTTTTTGTTTGTTTGTTTTAACCTCACACCTGCTTTCTCTTATATGATTTCTGACAGTCACCATTTGTACTGACAGATTTGCCATTTACACCAAAGCACCAACAAGGAATTCAGTGACAAAACTGAAAAAACAAGCATGAAAAGTTAAATTGTCATTGTAGTAATAACAATTATGATTTCGTCTTCATCACTAGCTCCAGCAATAATGTCACAGTATGTGTCCTTCATGCATGATGTTGCTCTAATTTGTGTGTCTGCTTGTGTGCATCTCAGTTCTGGGTGATGCTTCCCGGCCAGATTATGGGCCTAATCTTTAAACTGTTATTTTGGCTGTTACTGTTAATGTTGCATTTGCCATTTGCTGCTTTGATATACATGGCTGTGGAAACATCTTAGGCCACCATTAGACTTGTTGTTTTAGCAGTATTTTGACTATATATGTTTATCAGAATACAACTAGAAACTACTGGTATGTACACAGTATAAAAAAAACAAAAATGTCAAAAGTCGGCAAACAAACTGGATACTCAGGATATTCAACCTGTTATAAAGAAATATGAAGAATCCGGAGAGGTCAAGGAGAAAAACAGAAGTGGAAGACCAATAAAACTTTATAAAACTCAATAAAAACCTGATGAGAAGTTTCTCAGAGTTTGTTCTTTGAGAGACCAGAGGAAATCCAGTAAGGACCTGGCTCAGCATCTGGCAGCTTCATCCGGATGCCAAGTCGATCCTTCTGAGGCTGAGATATGCAAAAGCTCACAAAGACCAGAGTGAAGATCAGTGGAAAAGAGTCTTACGGAGTGAAGAGCTGAAGTTTGAAACGTTCAGCTCCAGTTGTCGACAGTATGTGAGAAGAAGAGTTGGAGAGAGGTGGAGGAATGAGTGTAGCAGCCTTCAGTGAAACACGGTGGAGGGAGGGTCTGTCAATGTTTCAAGACCTAAAATAATTCAAGCTGTGTAAAGGGAGGTCACACTGACTTTGGACTGTAGAAGCCATTTTGTTCTGGAAATGTAGTTTTTTTTTTTATATTGTTTACATATTTCCTGGCTGTATCTTAATAAAGAGACAGAAATAAATATAAATTATCATTACAACTTGGCTAAAACAACTAAACTAATGGTGGCCTAAGACACAGTACTGTATATGAGCCTGCCAGCCGCTGCTTGGCCCTAGTTTGCTTTCTGAGCTTGGCTGCTGCTGGCTGGCACTATAGTTAGTGTGGCAATCAAGGAAAGTGGGTCATGCTGTAGCAGCATTAGAAGGATGGAGCGTCAGTGTGGCTCCTGGCCAGTAAATGGCTTTGGAGCAGCAGCAATCTGCTTCTGCACTGCTGTATATTAAAGCTTCATATATCTGTGTCAAACAAGATAATAATATAATGGCTAGTGCATATAGTGAACGGTGTTATCTAAAACAAGGGGAAGATGAGTCCCATTTTCTTCAGAATTAATGTGAGGGTTGAGTCGACAAGAATGACGGAAATGCTTATTAGACTTGTTTTTGTATGTTGTAGCTATATAAATAGTAACAAACACATTTAGCTGGAGCCACGAAGGTCTGAAAGTCTTCCTTTGAATGTTACTATGTAATATGCAATATTTCATTTAGCATTTTGTGGTATTCTAGTTACAGATTTAGTTTATATTCATTTGTGATGTTTTGAAAATCCACATGTTCTAGACATATTTGTGTACATGATGCTGTCAATAGCATTAGAATTTGTAAATAGTTTTTTATTGGTTTATCTGTTCATTATTTACTTAAAACCAACAAAGTTTAATAGCCTCGTTGAAGTGGGCCCAGCAATGGAGCCTCCACTGCTTACTTGCTGTACATGGTATGTTTTTGCATGTAGCATGTAGATTGGGGTTAAAGATCTGTGAAGATTAGAGATAATCTGCCATGCAGACTGAACTTCATCATCACAGTGGTGACACGCCAGAGACGACCACTGACTCACCATGCACCTACCATCTCTTACTACATCAAGCTGATTAGTTATATTTATTGTTGGTTGAGACATTAGCCTGCAATCATTGTTATCAATTTCAAAGACATTGTGATTGATTACTCTAGAGATGGGGTTAAGCATTTGTTCTCATGGTGACAAAGAAAGTAATATGGCCATAATGCAGCCAACCCTCTTCCTGATCCCCTGTTAAATTTGGGTAGGCACTGACCATACTTCTGTGTTGGCAGGTTTCTGGTCAAGTGAGCATCAGTCAGGATCTTAGCTGAAATTAGTGACAGAATATCAAAAACAATAACCACCATCTTACACTATTTATTCTGCTTTGGGTCTTTGCTTATGGGAAACTATTGTGGAGCGGGAATTAAATGTATTAAACAGGTGGAATGCAATTATACGCTATGCTTACTGGCTTATTATTACTGTTCTTGTACACATGAGTGTCCATGTTACTGCATAACCTCCTGTACAAAATCCCCAGCTGGGCCCCAGACCAGCCTGATCCCCTGTTTGTCTCCACCTCAACAGGCACAGGCAGGGTAGGGGGTGGGGTTAAGTCACATTTCAGACATAATCTTATTTTTCCATCATCATAATCCTACTTAATGGTCCACAATATTGCTTTGCATTTTTTGTTTGGTACATTGTTGACATGATTATTTAAGTAGATTTGCCAAATAAGGACGAAGATTTTGTGTGGTTAATTGATGGCTATTAATTTTTCTTCTTCGTCACATCGGTGACAGGAGCGCTAACTGTTTCTCAGCTAGATGTTTCCTAGCAGGGAGCCAGGGCTAAGCCAGGAGCGCAGAGCAGTGCTGCAGTGAGGCTTGTTTTGAAATGCATTGTGGATCAGCTGCTTGGTTGTTATGGTGATCTGGCAGGCTCTGTGCTGTGTGTTCATGAGTTCCTCCTCTCTCCCCTCTCATTAAGGAGACTGGTGATGTAGCTTAGCAAGCTCTCCTGGGTCTGCAACAGGAAGTCCACTAGCAGCCCCCACTTTCCCTTTCGTTCTGCACCTTTTGTCATGAATTGCCCTTTACCCTCCCCTCTGAATAATTACTATACTGTTCATTTTCTCCTTTTGTCTGTCATCACGTCTCCTTTCACACTGTGACACTAGCTCCAACCTATGATTACACTGGCCAAATGGGAAAATACGGTATGTTCCTATCTTAAATCACTCTTTTTTTTTTGGTTGTTTGTTTGCAGAGTCTTAAATACAACTGCTGACTGAATTTAAGACATGTTGTATGGCCAGGATATATGTTAACATTATTGAAGCAGGAAATTTCATTGGAGTTAAGATTTTTTTTTTCAATGGAGACTTGAAATCATGTAGTATTAATCACTTGTAATACTGATGTATCATTATGTGTATGCAAAGTCACACAAAAATGATCAAATTGATGTTTGTATTCTGACAGAACTTCTCACGTGTTAAAAAAAAAAACTTGGCTCAACAATTTTTTTCACTATAGAATTTTCAAAAATGACAATGAACTATATTCATACAGTCAGTGTGCAAATTGATATATGATAAAATTTAAAATGTGTCCCGCTGTACCGTGTTTCAGTTATCATTGCTTATAATACTACTCTGACTTACTCAGATCAGTCAGCCTGTAGCTAGCTCTGAGAAGCCCTGGTCCGTATATCGGGTCACTTGCCCCCTTCTGTACTGCAGACATTTCCCGTGAACAGACGAGTCATATCCCACAGACATACAAGCAGCAACCCTGTTCTTGGTTACAGTGTTGGGAAGGCAGCCGGCCAGGGCCACACGGTCCCCAATGACTGATTGCAGCGCATTGAGACAGCTATGTAACAAGCCCTTGCTGGCCCAAAGCCTGCCATGCTTGCCCCAGGTCCTGCCCAGGTCTGCACTTTACAGCCGGGCGTAGTAGGTTGACGAGCAGACAGGGCTCAGGCATGCAGCTGGACTGCAACCAGCCCCCCTCTGGGGCAACATAAGAGGTTGGTACAAGAATGTGTGGCCTCATAAATGGAATTTATAAGTAGTAAAAGGGAAGAGACACTGATTTGCACAGATTAGGCTCAAAACTGAAGACTGGAGAATGAAGGAATGGCTCCATGACAGGAATGTGTTTGTGATGTGCCTGTCCTCTCTGTTGGCCATAATTAACTATAATGACTAAACAATAGTGAGGGGAGAGGGGCACCAGTGCCGCTGTTGGGTGGCAACTAAACTGTTACAAGTAAAGGGGAAAACGATAGGTGGATCTTAAACTAAATACAGGGACTGGATAAGGATGCAGATGGCAAATTGCTTGATTAATCATTAACACAACAATTCAGTCATTTGCTAGATTTCTGTATTAATTAAATGCACTTGGTTTAAATATTTGAATCATTTAAAGCAATATGGAGATTAGACATATAAAGTACTGTTGGTTGAAGCCCCAGGGCATGAAAGCAGCTCAACCTCTGAGTGAACAAGTTTATAGAGTTGAGCTCTCTGGCCGAGCTGATAATGTTGGTGGTGCACTTTAATGGGCTATGGCCATTAGAAAGGCCTCTGTAAGTCTCTCTCAAGGAAATGTCCATATGATACACATTCTGGGGAATGTAAATATATGTCAGCAAGAGTTTGTTGTATTGATGCTTGGTGAAAATGTATCTGAAATAGGTTTTACATCTGCCATGTTGTCTGACAAAAACACACTAAAAGATATGGAACCCCTGTTAAAATGTTTTTTTTTTTTGGTGGTTGTTTGTTGTAATTTAGTTATGTTTTATCCTGCAGTCTCTTACATGAGTCATGCAGCAATACTTTACTGCTCAAGAGAGAAGGGAAACATTGCTGAAGGCAAATAAAGGGAAGCCAGCTGAGGAATGACAGACCTGGGACACGTGTGTAATCGTACTACAGGTCCATTGCCTATTTAATGATTGTATAAACATAGGTCCAAAGTTCACCTACATCTACTGATGTGAATGTTTGGTTGCTGAGAGCTCTTAACAGTTTCTACGGACTCACATCTGGCCTCTGGTGACCTCTAGAGGATACTGCTAGTAAGTGGTAGAGCAGTAGAAACGTCCATGTCTAGCATTACTATATTAGCTGTAATTTATTGCTCCTGTCAGGATTCTCAGGCCTTTGCTGGCAGTGGTCCCACCTTTAATATTTTTTTCCTTCTCCCATATCATTGGTGCAGGGTGCTCACCTGGCAGTGATAGATGCCCTGATGGCTGTGGGAGCCATGGAGACTGTGACGGCGGTGAGGACATGTGGGTCTGCTGAGTTGCTGGGTGGAGCCTCCAGCTGGGAGGATGCTCTGCTTCACTGGGTTAATGGGGTAAGGAGGAAGCCAGATAGAAAAGTGCTCATTTAAAGCACAGAAATTATGATGCTGTAATTCTTAAATCCACTGTTTTATTGATGTGAAAACATGAAATTAAGTGCTTTGTCTTTTTTGCTATTCTGTCAGATAAACCAGAAGCTGAGAGAACGTACTGAAGGAGCCCACAGTGACTCGTCTCAGGCTGATTCAGAGCCTCAGCCTGCTCAACCCTCTGTGAGTATTTCATTATATTTCTGTCTCTCGTCATATATCAAACACACGATAATCTGTCTAATATTATTTACTTGGTGTAATAAACAGACACCGCTATGTTAAGCTTTTAATGATTTTTTTGCTGCTCTTGCAGGCTTTTACCCTCTTACTGCTTTACACAGTAAAACTAAGGGTCATTGCTTTGTCAGCAAGGCTGTCTTGTCACGTCAAGAAATTACCATCATCACAACCCTTGCTCTTGTTTGTTTAGTTCTTCCACTGTAGGCTTAATAGCTCTCCTTGTGCTCCTGTTCTCCGTTTCCTCGTCTTTCTCTATTACCTGTCCCATCTCCTCTCTGACAGTGTCCTACTCGCTGGTACTGGAAACTTGTTCCTGTAAGTTCTTCTCTTTCCTCTGCTCCTTCCTCCCTGTCCCTCCATCCTTAAAGTGTCTTCATCCAGTTTATTAACAAATATATCTTATGGTCAGGTGTTGTTTTTGTTTTTCCCTCCATATGTTGATGTCAGAATGGTAGTGTGCGTCATACTGTAGTTTGCATTAAATTGCACATCACAGTACAAATGTCATAGGGCTGGGCAGGGGTGCGAACAGCATTGTTTGTTGACATGACGGTGGTGCATGAATCACAGCCACTAATCAAACAGGCCTTTAAACTGTACAGTGACAACCAGTTCCTCTGGTTTTCTGTGCCAGAGGTGTGTACTTGTGTGTGAATGGCTATGGAGGTTAACAGAGACCAGCTTCTAGTCACCTGGTCCCCACTGTGTGCTGTTTGTTTATATAATGTTTCTCCTTTTTCTGAGATGCTCTTGATTTATTATTTTTTTTTTTTTCTGCCTACTGAAACCCTCACTTGTCCCACTTTTTTCTGACTAAACCTTCCTTCCTTTCTGCTCTAATTAATCATGTCCTTTGCGTTTGTCACCTCTCTTTTATACACTTTAGCATGACCTTTTATTTGCCCTCTTTCTGTCATTCATACTACTGTTCTCCTTTTTTTTAGCATTTTCTCTTATGCATCGCAGTGCATAAAGGCTTGTCTGGCCATGTCTGAAAAACCCTGACTTGGATCATGGGTTGAACATTAACTCATATGTCAGATACTTAACAAGTAAACAGGTTTTAAAGTGACATTGCATTATTTGAATGTCTCTTTTGTTTGTTTCTTGTTGTTGTTTTTAGCTCCGCTATAGGAAGGATAAAATTCAGTCCAAGCAAAAGCCCGTCTTTCCAGTTGTTAACGAAGTCCAAGACTTGTCCAGTGGCTGTGCAATTGCTGCTGTCATATATTACTATTGCCCTGGGCTGCTAAGACTTGAAGGTACCAACACTATAACCAGCGACTCTGAGTGGAAGTCACAGGACTTTTTAGGACAATGTTTTTTTTGTCAGTTTAACACTTTCCCTCTCTTCTTGTAAGATGTTTGTATGAAGGACTCCATGTCTGTAGCAGACACCCTCTACAACCTGCAGTTCATCTGTGAATTCTGTGATAGCTGTCTGAAGAGCTGCTGTCACTTGGCACTAGAGGACCTGCTATACACACCACGGGAGCTTCAGGTACTTGCACTCACCCACAATCATTAATCGACTGAACACATTAACAAAGATTGAGTAATGTATTGTTTTCTTAATGTGTGACTTGTTTAGCTCAATGTGTTGAGCTTCCTAGCAGAACTACTTAGCTGGTTTGAAGTACGAAGGCCAGAATTTGTTCAGGCAATAGGTAAGTGTCACAGTTTCTGCTGCTTTATAAATACTGTGAAATCCTACCAGTAGGATCATAACATTGAACATCTATAAAGTTTTATTGTGTTTTCTTTCTTTTTAGATGGAACTACACCAGTAACACCAAGTAGCTTGAGTGGTAACAGGTACAGAGGTTCTCTGAATATGATTTTGATAGATAGACTGGAATTTTCTTTGTATGAAGCATTTGTTTGAACTGAGAGGTTGTTTCCCCTTCCTTACAGTACCTCCCCATCTATCTTCAAGACACCTTTCCTCCCCATCTCCTCTGCATCAGGTACAGTAAGATCAAGACTGTCCTCTCATCCTTACATCAAGCTACAGTGGTTTGTAAATGTTTCTCATTTTGCAGTCTGTTTCACCTGTTTCCTTCAATGCTTGTTTGTCTTTAGTTGCGTTTTGTGTTGTATGATGGTCTTGTTTTCTTGTTTTTAATCAACATTTTAAACTTTTTGTACATATCTATTTCCTTTTTATTGGTGTACTGTTTGGTTGATTTGTTCATCCCTGTGTGGTGTGCATGCTTTTACCTGTCTGTGTGTGTCCCATTGTGCTCAGGATCTTTGACTCAGTCTACCTCAATGTCTCATATAGAAGGAGTTGGAAAGACATGGAGCAAGAAACCTCTCAGGTAAAACCCATCAGTACAATTTAAATCACTGTTGTTGTTGTTTTGCATTTATTTTTATTCATGTCATTTAACTTGTGCTCATTTTTTTTTTCTCTTTAGCCGCCCGTTGTCAGCAGTATCCTTCAGCATTCCTTTTGGCCTGGACAGTGATGTGGATATTGTGATGGGCAACCCTGTGATAACCCGCTCAGTCAGTTCAGACCAGCTTGACCCCACAGGCCAACGCATAACCAGAGTGCCCTACACGCCTCCTGAAGACCTCAGCCACTTGGTCAGCAAACACTCTGGTCCCAATGGTCCACAGAGAGCTTCTTGGGTCACCCAGACTCCCAGTATTCCAAGGTTGCCAGAGGAGAATGGCCTTGTAGTGAATGAAACAGGAGAGCTGCCTACCATTGAGGAGGCTCTCCAAATCATCCACAATGAGAGCAAAATGGAGCCTCGTTTACACCCTGATGGAGCTCCTGACGGCTTCTACCTCCACTCTCCTGATGACCCTGCTAGTTCTAGGCATAACAGCAACTTGGCACCCATCAGCTGCTCTGCCCCTACACGCTCAGGAATGATGTACCGGCCCACAGGAGACTCCAGAGAGTCCACTCGGACCAGAAACACCTCTGAATGTTCACGAGATGATGACTCCGTCTTGAGAGATGGCAGTGTGGACTCAGATGCATCGGAAGACCTGCCTAAGACCCAGTCCACTCCAACAACACCAGCTGCTGGTGCACACACTGCTAGAGGCCATAGCAAAGAGGGGTCTGACAGTGGTGTCAAGATGACCAGCTTTGCAGAGCGCAAAAAGAAACAGATTTTGGATTCTCCAAAAGCCAGCGATCCCTCTTCTCCTCAGATGACCACATGGGCACAAAAGTCGGAAGAAAGCCCCGGTCAGAGCCCACAACTCAATAACGAAATGTCTGAGCTGGGAGTCAGACTTGAAGAAAAGCGCAAAGCAATAGAAGCCCAGAAAAAACGCATTGAAGCCATTTTTGCAAAGCACCGGCAAAAACTAGGGAAGAGTGCCTTTCTGCAGTTAAAAAAGGGACAGTGGGAGGACGAAGGTGAGGGGGACGTAGGGGATGGCCAGGTCAGCACTTCATCTACTGAAGAAGACTTGTCTCATCTGACACCAGAAGATAGGATAGACCGAATGGAGGAGAATGAGCAGCAGAAACAAGGTGAACAGCACCCCTCACTGGACAATAAGGGTAATGTTAAAGGAGGATTTACACCCTCTAAACACGCTGGTCCCTCCCGAGTAAAGACGGGTACAGCAGGAGAAAAGACACCTGATGAAAAAGCAATAACTCCACTAGGCGACTATAACAATGCTGTGTCAAAGCTGACTGCAGCCCTTAACTCCCTGCAAAGTGACATGCAGCGACTGACCGACCAGCAGAACCAGCTAATCAAGAAGAAAACTGTAGGTACCAGCAATAAATCCTGGGTTATTCCAGCTAGCCCTAAGACTTCCACCCCAGTCCCTGCTCCTGCTCGCCTCTCTCGAGAACCCACTCGAGATTTAAATTCAGCTTCTTCCTCTCCGTCGCCATCCCGCAAAATCACAAACCACATCACTCCTCCTAAATCCCCTCAAGTTCATCGTAGAGCCCAGTCTGCGCCCCCTAAAAGTCCCAAACACAGTCGTACATTGGACGTTAAGGTCCCATCTCTGTCGAGGGTTATTACCCAACCTCAAGATGTGGACTGCATCCCCCACCGTCGTCGTGTACATCCCTGGCAATCGCAAGTCCAGACTTCATCCTCATTCTCCATTGGTGACTCTGACAGCCTAGATGAGCTGCGCTCATCTGGCCCAACTCCTGTTCCTTCGCTGATACCGACTCCAATTCCAACTTCCCGTCCTGCCGGAGATGACCTCATGTCAGAGGTAGGCTCCAATGATGATCATAGTATATTTAGCATGGACCTGGAGACAGGGCCCTTTCATGGTGCTGCAGCTAAGAAGGAAGGGCTTCCAGGTGGGGGCTGCAGCTCTGGTGCCCCATCAGAGTGCTCCTTTGAGAGTGATGCCCCTGCAGGGATGATGAATGGCAAACGCAATAGTCTTATCGAGATCTCGCTGTCTGCTGTGCGAGGTGATGGGGAGGAGGATGACCAAGTACCTGACGCCTTTTCTGACACAGTGAGCGACCAAACAGATGTGGAGATGAAAGGAGTTGGTTTCTTTTTCAAGGTAGGTGACTGAATTTATTTACTCTGTGTAGCATTTAATGAGTTGTGCAGTCATGCCTTTTTATGTCTGCCACTATTATTAGGATGACAAGGAGCGACCAGAAGATGAGATGGCCCAGCGAAGAGCAGCTTTGTTGGAGAAACAGCAGAAGAGAACAGAAGAAATGAAAAGACGTAAACTTGAGCAGGAAGAAAGAGAATCAAAGTGAGACCCTTTTTATTCAAACACCTGTGTTAATAAGAAATGAAGACTGTCGAATTTCACTTACACTAAATTGGTCAAGTGTATTGTAGTCATGTTTTACATACTTTAACTGATAAGAATTAGGATTTATATCCTAATGTCTCCATTATCTGTGAATCATTGGTCTCCTCATGTCATGCATGTTTTACACATTATCTTTGTGTATTTTTAGGAAGCCTCAGTGGATGATCATCGAGGGCTGGGGGAATAAGACTGAGGACAGACCCCAGACCCCAGGGACCCCTCCAGCGTCATGCACCCCATCAGCAGAGGGCACTCCCCAGCGGAGGGGAGAATTCACTAAGCAGGAATATGAACGGAGACACCAGCTGAAGATCATGGAAGACTTGGACAAGGTGCTGAAGCAGAAACCCACCACGGTTCGCGGTGTCAAGAAGCAGCGACCTAAGACCGTGTTCAGAGATGACTCTGTACTCTCTCATAGCCCTGTTAAGGGTTTCATGGGTAATTAGTTTAGATATTTACTGTACACACACTGGTATTAGTTTTTTGTATGCGCTGTTCCTACACTTGTATTCGGTTTCTCAATATAATTAGCTTTACATTCCTCTTGTTCTCTATGTAGGCACCAAGCTGAATAAAGTGTACTCCCACTCAAGCGTGAACCTGTCCTCCATGGCTAGTGACTCTGGAGGCCTGACTGTAAGGAAGTCTCCCAGGTAACCTGCACATTGATGATGTCTTGCTTTCCTCTTGATTAAATGCTTGGAAAGTGGCAAGCACTTGCATTAATTCAGCCAAAAACACTGTCATTGCCAACAGTATTATTTTAAATCCCACAGAAATTAGAAATGAAACCAAATTAGCGAATTTGCTATAATAGAGCAGAGAAATACATTTTAAATGATTAGTGTTATCAGGGATTAAAGTGCTTGTATACAAAGCCTCAAAGTCTATTACTGGCTTTCCTCAGTAACGTCCTTTCTGACTCCCTCTAGCCGTTCACACTCTCCTTCTCGGATGATGTCACCAGGACGAAGGAATGCTCAAAATGGAGAGAAGGACTGGGAGAGTGGCTCCACCATTTCTTCTTCTGCCTCAATCCCAGAATACACAGGTCAGTAATATGTTCCTAACTAAGAGAGTATAAAAAAATGAGTAGGCATGGTTTTGCTGGTTATATGACATTGGGGAAATACTGTCTTGCAGGACCAAAGCTGTACAAGGAGCCTAGCTTTAAGTCCAACAAGTTCATCATCCATAATGCCATCACTCGCTGCTGCCTTGCTGGCAAGGTCAATGAACCACAGAAAAACAAAATTGTAGAGGTATGTCATCCTATTGTAGAGTCCAACAAAGGGGTCCAGCCTAACTAAGTTACAAGTGACTGATTTCTGTTGTCAGCTGCAGTTAACATGTTTTTCCCTCTCTCACCGATTAGGAAATGGAGAAGAGCATGGCCAATCACTTCCTCATCCTCTTCAGAGATGCCAGCTGCCAATTCAGAGCAGTTTACACCATGAACCCTGAAACAGAAGAGATGGTACGGCTCACTGGCATTGGCCCCCGTATCATCACACTTGAGATGGTAGAGTCCATTTACAAGTACAGCTCTGACCGAAAGCAGTTCACGGTCATCCCATCCAAAACCATGTCAATGAGTGTTGATGCCTTCACCATCCCCGGTCACTTTTGGCAGAAGCGCCCAGGAACACCCAAAAAGCTTGGCACCCCCAAATAAAGACATTCAGGGATCCAACTCCCAGCTTGACTTGTGTGGTGATGTATTTTGGCAAGTGAAGCACTTGTTCTTTACACAGACTAGCAGTGGACAGCATGATGGCGCCTGGACCCAAAGTGAACCCCAACCCAGTGAACTCTACATACCAAGAGAAAGGGCATGTCACTCACTCATTCAGCCAGTGTAGTTAGAACTGTTTTTTCTTTTTGAGACTGTATGATTGGCTTTACCTGGTCTACCTAAAATGTATAATGTATTGCATCTAGTTCTGTCAGGATGGATTTTCTCTCCCTTGCACCCTGCCTACCCATGCCTTGCCTTACCCTGCCTATGGAGTAAATTTTGCGACTTGTACGTAAGAAAAAGAGAGGACAACCACACTGCCTTCGCCTGTACAACAGTATTTTGGGCCGGAGTAGTTCCTACCCCTCTCAGTTCTGCTTGCTTTTCCTTTGGCAGCTGTTCTTCTTCTTCCAGGGCTCACGCTTTCTCCAGTTTATTGGAACAACTGCCTCATCTCTCAGCTGAAGAGTAATAGCAGATTGCACTGCTCTCATGAATGTAGGGCACACACTAACCACTCATTGCATTCAGGGTGTTTTTACTGGTTGATCAGGATCAGAAAATGCCATAGTGGATGGTTTGTCTGTGGGCTGCACTGGTGGACACCTAGAAACTGCCTGTGCCTCCATAGTCTGTACTCCACTGCACGCCAATTCTCCTGCAGCTGTAGACGTTTGGATGTTTTTTTATACTATTTGGACATGTTTTTGCTGGACAAATCGCTTCAGCCTCTGAACGTAACGTGGAACGAAGAGTGAAACTCGGTTAGCTCTTTTCTCTTAACTGGCTTTGTCATTTCCAACGTGATGAATTGAAATGTTAGCTGAGTTTGTCTTGAAAAGCTATTGGAAATGTGAAGGAGGGCTTTATCATGTTTGTCATTACTTGGATACAACTCAGTGTGAAAGTGATAATGTCGATTTAATATATGCTGAATGCTTATTACTTAGATTTTTTTGACAATGATTTGTAAAAAAAAAAAAAAAAATGTAAGTTGACCTTTGTAAGCTATGAATAAGCTAGCCTGCTGCTTAAGCATTGATGAGAGGTATGTTTGAGATAAGAATGAGTGAATGAGAATCAATAGAAGTTGTTGCTGAAACCTTTTGTCTAGGGAATAATAAATTCTTTAGGTCACTAGGAGTCTGTTTTCTCTTCTGATTCCCTGTTTGTGTGTCCCAGCATATGAACAGTAGGTTTGATAAAGGATAATTCCGGACTGTAACAGCCCTCATCTTCCCCACACAGTCTTTAGAGACTCCTTCATGTATAAATGGGGTAATGTAAAATGCTAAACTTTTCTTTTTTTTTGGCCAGTATGTCCATTCCATAAACAATCCCGCAATTGCTTATGATGAGGTCCGTATCACCACAGGATAAGTTTAACATGGGCCTTCTTCACGTTCTTCTCAGTCCTAAAACAGCCGCCATGCTGCAACTGCCTTCTTTAAAATCAGTGATCACCTCCAACAGATGCATTATTTGAGTGATTCCACTACAGATGTAAAAAATAAAAATAAAAAAAATAATGGAAAAATGGTGACGGTTGATTAAAAGTAACCGTGTGTGTGTATGTAGATGTCTGTATTTATGTGTTTGTAAAGAGTAGTATGTTATAGTTTAACACTATATTTTGATTCTGTGCAATTCTCCCTAGAAATCCCCACATTACCAAGAGGTATATTTATTTGGTTTGCGTTAGGTGGTGAATTTATTTAGCTATAGTTTCTATCTGTGTTTTTTGGTTAAGGTGGTAATTCACTCATTCATTTCATAAAAACTGCCATTTATGTTTTCTTTCTTTTCTGTTATCAAATCTGTGCCAGCACATTATGTATGTTTTTTTTTAAATTGACTATCCTTGGCAACTGGACCAGATAAATAAAAATTCATTTTAAATCATTGTTTTTCATTCCCATGTTTCTTTTCCTATTTGCATCAGCAGTTTTTTTTTTTTTTTTTTTTTTTGGTATTAGAATTTTGAATAGCTGATAGCAGTTGATGCCACCAGCCTCTGATTGTATGCAACATTTTGCTGTAGAAAAGATCTTTTCTGACAGTTGTGATGTTCATACTCAGTGAAATTCGGTTACAGGTTTTGAGTACAGAGGTATATGCAAAGACTTTTTTTTTTTTTTAAATTCAGTGATGCATTTTTATTTCTTCTTTGCACAGCTGTGCTCCTGCTTACATCACGGTAGTGCTTGAGTCTCAGATCTCACAACAATACTGACAAAAACATTTACTGACTCTGGTAACACTGATGATAAAAAAAACTTTGGTGAATGGCACAGGTAATATTCTCCCTCAGTGCTGATCCTGAATCACATATTCCTGTCATTTCTGTGAGAGAAGTCATAAGGCCTGTTAAAGAGAGCATGCTTTTTACAACAATCATCACAAGCAAAAAGGACAGTTGGATCTGAAAGGCAGAAAAGGAGGTGCCAAAACAGCAATCTGAGGCAGCTGTTGTGCCTGAAAATACAGCACTGCCTTCTCAGTTGTGCTTGCTGTGAAGCATCTCAGTGAGGAGAGAGTTGCAGGGCAAATCTCCCAGAAGATGGCGCTGGTACAAATACTCCTCAACCTGCAAGCTAATGCTACGAACCTCAGGTAGCCGTAGCAGCAGCTGGCCAAACTTGTCTGAGTGTCCTGGATGATTCTGCTGAGTGTGCTCCATTAGGGCCCTGTTCACCTTCTCTTGAGTCTGCTCTACCTGCCTGCGGCTCTGCACAGACTTCACATCTAGAGCAGCAAGAAGATGCATGCGCATTCATTATCAGCATTCAATACATACATGCATGCAGGTGCCAACAGAAACTGCCTGGCATGGCAATAATGTGAAAACAAAAAGGTCAAAACGCTACATCTGATTTGTCCATCCATTATTGGGCGGCTGGAGCCTATCCAACCTAACATTGGGTGGGAGGCGGGGTGCACCCTGGACAGGTCACCAGTCCATAATAGGGCTGACATGTAGACAAACAACCGCACCTAGAGTCCATTTAGTATCACCAATCAACCTAAGCTGTGTTTGGACTGTGGGAGGAAGCCGGAGTATCTGGAGAGAACCAACACAGGCACTGGAAGAACATGCAAACTCCACACAAAAAGGCATCAGGTCAGCTGGGACTCAAACATGGAACCTTCTTACTGTGAGGCAACAGTGCTAACCACTGCACCATTGTGCCACCTGCAGCGGATGTGTATCTCCTTTAAAACATCTATTCAATAGAATTTCAAAAGAAAATGCTCACCGGGGTTGAATAGTACCAAATATTTGAGACAGACAAACTCATGTCTGTCTAACTGGAGTATCTTCAGTTTGGACACCAGGTCTTGGGTCCTTGATACCAGGCTTCTCAAAGCTGCTCCTGCCTGAGAGATGATGGTCAACACCTCAATCTGCATCAGAATGAGAGAAAGGTGTTGATCAGAACCTAACTTTCTCTGCAATCCAATGAGACACAAAATTCAACATCTAAAGACATTTTTCACGATCACAACAATGTTGTGTGGTTAATGTTAAACTTTACCTGTTGTCCTGTGACCAGATATATGCAGCCCTCTCTTCCATAGGTTACCTGTCTGCAGAGGTGATCCAGGACCAGCAGCTCACTCCAACAGCTCTGCAAGAGCACCATCTGATCCTCTACCTGTGGAAAGCATACAAAGTTAATCTTATACAGGTGCAAATGAAAGACTATGACCCCTGACTTCCTGTAAGCTCCAAACTAATAGCAAAGGGTAAATGCAATAGGCGTGCTTACACAGCTAATTAGAGGTTCCTTCTACTGCAAAAAGGTTTATGTAATACTATGTTCCATGATTTCATGATACATCACCTTGATTTCTTTGAAGATTGTACTGTTCCTGGCCCACTCCACAAGCCCAAAAAGAGTTAGGTCAGCCATTTTGCACATGATGCTGAATGTATTTAGTCGGTCATGTTTGCCTCGATTTGACTGTTCCCTTTGCAGGCTGGCCAGGACTTTAGCACACAGCTGGCTCTCATCTTGCTCTCCCTCCAGGAGTTGGCTTAGGAAGTTATTTGTAGGAATGGATGATGAAGGAGTGTCTGGGGCTTGGGTGGAAGCTTGTGAGAGAAGGGTGGATGAGCTTGGTGTTGGGCAAGGGGATGATGCTGGTGTGCTTCTGGGTGTGAATGAATCGTTTGACGTTGGATGCACTGGATAGTTTGCAGTAGCAAAGCTGTAGCTAAAAGACATTTCTCCTTTCTCTTGGACAGATCCAGGGAAGGTGCAGCAGTACAGTTCAGGGTAGGAAAGGGATGGAGGAGAGAGGTTTCTGTCTTCATTCATAGCGCAGTCCAGAGGTATATGCGCAGCTGACTGACCCACGCTTGAGGGATACATGTGAGTTTTATTAAAAACATCAGAAGACAACGACACACTTGTGTGATTGCTCATCAGGTGGAAATCATGTGGAGCTGTGGGCCAGTGTGTTTCCATCCTGAACCTGTAGGTAGCAGTGTTTGTCTGGTGATATAATTTTTGCTGCTTCATCTGCCTGTCCCTTCGATACAGAGGGCCAAATTTATTTCTGCCGCCTCTCATACGATCTGCTCTTACTGCTGTTGACAGGACATGAAACAAATGATCAAGGTTTTTCTACAAGATTCCAGTGACACAGATGATTTATTTTAGAAAGCTACCAGTGGTGGAGTAAGTACACAGATTTTTATTTTAAGTAAAAGCAAAAATGCCCTGTAAAAGTACCTTCTCTTTTCATTCCTACTGCTAAACACTTCTGAAAGCGGCAGGAAGGACAACGTTTCCTCTGGGAAAGGTTCATAGGGCAGTTTTGCTGTTCCACACAGGTGTAATGCTTGTTGTTTTGCACTGAACGCTTAAAGAATCCCTGCAGAGAGAGAGAGAGAGAGCCTGTAAAGCTGTTGCTTCACTCACTGCAGATAAAACAGTCCGGAGCTGCAATATAAAATATGCATCATTATAGTTACAGAAATAAATCTTAATTCTATTGACTATTTGGTGTATGCCACAGGCCCAGATTGTCGTGGAGAATTCTGTTGTATTACCTTGCAGCTTTCACAAGTGAGCAACCCATAGTGGTATCCTGACACTTTGTCTCCACAGATGGGACAGCTCTCCTCTGACTGTGGTCTGCTGTCTGGCTCTGTCTTTGACTCCTGAGCTGGAGAATGATACCACAGTTATCATTAAAGTGAATGTATGATATGACACAAACATCTGCTACTGAAAGTGGCCAATGTGGCACAAGCTTAAGTGCTGGCTAAAGGGAAACTGTTGATTACTGGCCAATTGTTGTGATGTGTCAAGCTACTAAAACACATACATGGTCCAGAGAGCAAATACTGCTCTAACCCTCTTCCCACTTCCCATTTTCTCTTCTCCTGTTTTCTTCTTTTAGTAAAATACAGAGATGCCAAAGGTGTAAGGATTTCTCATTGTGTTGGATTGCTTTTGTTGGAAATGATAGGTGGCCTATAGAGTATTTGGCATCTGTTGAGAAAACAGTGGAATACAGAGCAGTACAGGACTCAGGACTCACTCAGCATTTTTTTTTTGTTTAGTTTAGTTTAGTTTTTCTTTTGATGTGTATCTGATCAGAGATATGAACCTTACATAATCCCTGAACCCTGAAGCATAGCCTCATATCGTCTCTCTGGGGCCAAATAGTGGTTAAACATCATTTAGGATGAATACTGAGCTTTCATGAGAATGCTCATTTGGCATGTTTAATTAGGTATTATCAACCCAGAGATCACTGGTTATAATGCCCACAGGATCCAGTCTTCGAAACAAACAAACAGACAACAAAACAAAATCATAGCACAATGGTAAACCACTTTCCCATTTTCCCTTTTCATTTGTATGTGGCTCTTGATGTGGAGGTGATTCATATCTTTTATGTGCCACTACATAATATACATTTCCAGACAGTTATACTTCAACTTAAAAAACAACAACATATAAAACACTTATATCTTTATAAAACCGTACAAGCTCAAATAATATCTTCTGAACTTTGCGTAAAAGGGCGCAATCTACCTGTAGTGTACTTCCATCTGACACTTACATGTTGATGATCCTTCCAAATTTGACAGATCGCCTGCACAGCGAACATGAGGCTGGGGTGGCTGTGGGTGATAAACAGGTAGGTCCATTTTGGCTGTGGGACATGAATTCCAAAAGTTAGTCCCGCCTGATCTTCATTGTCCTGTAGACCAGGAGACCAGACAGACACCGCAGGCAAAGGCTGACAGGCAGGCCCAACAGCCTTGATGGACTGATGGTGGTTTGAGGCCCATGAGTGGACTTCGATCTGTAGCACGTGTCATAAAACCTCTCCTGACTGGCACTCCTACCCAGTCTGTCTGTCTGTCAGTGAGCCAACCAGCCAACCATCCAACCCAATAAAATTGCATTAGAGTTATTAGTAATGTAGTTAAAGTACCAAAACTTCTAGTAGTTATTCTGCAGAAGCAGGCCCCTGTGATTGGTGCATGATATTATTAGATTAATACTGATGTATCATTGTGAAAGTAGTCTTTTATTGTCATAGGTGGCAGAGGTACAGCAGCTTAACTTTACACAACTTTATATACAGTCAGGTAATTTAGTCCTCCCTAACCTGACTCCTAAAATAAATCTGAGGTATTGTAAGATGATTAATGGAAAGTAATAAAACTAAATCAAATTTTGCTCAAAAAATGTGTAGTCATTTATTTATTTTCTTTAATATTTGCCTTTAAATAAATAATTTTACTTTTTTGGGCCTTGAAAAGCAGTGAACTGGAATGAAACCCCTGAAATGTTAAGAGATGAAATCACTCTTTAGTGTAGCTGATACCAACTGATAGACATCTGAGACGATAAAATCAAGGAGACTCAACTACATATGCCTTGTTAATTGTTCATTCTTGAATAAAATGCAATTAATCCACCTTAATAAAGAATTCAAGGAAAGAAAAATTAATTTTCTTTAGTCAGCATAATTCAGTATTGTCCCATCAGAGAAATCAAGTTGTACATACTCCCAGCCAATGCCTTAGGTGATAAGGTGCCGTTCAATAGCCCAAATAACACGGGCAGCCTTGATGAAGCTCACAGTTATGTCAGAGCAATAGGGCATGAGTTCAAGGGTGGATTGTTACGAAACCTGCACATTAGCTTGTAAATGGATTATGACATTCATCAATAAAACTAGCTTCCCACTATTTTCACCAGTCTGATAGTTTCTGACATTCAAAAACTTTCTTCTTTCAGAAGGTAAAATCCTTAGAATATATTACTGAACGGCCTGATGTTCTTGACAGAATATAATTACTGTAGCTGCATATTGCTTGCTTAAATGATTTCTTCTTTTTTTTATTGCAACAAAACAGTAGGGTAACAAGACAAAACACAGAACATATAATAATATGATATTGACAGAAGGGTGCAGGGAAATTTAACATGTGCTTTGTGTGTGAAGGGGTGTTGTGTGGATATAATACATTTTAAAAAAAGATAAAAAAAAGATAACATTAAAATAAAAATTAATTTTAAAAAAGTAGAAGAAAAGGGGAAAAATAATGATCAATCATCCCTGACCCACCAGCACCAGAACAAGATGAGAAAATGCCAGCATTAGGGAGCCCCAGAGCAGCCTGGCAGGGTCGGCCAGGTATACTCCTAGAAGTGTAGTTGAACTTAGTAGTGCTGTCTGGTGGTATAGTAGAATCCACAGAGGCAGACTGGTTAAGAATGACACAAAGAAACCACTGCACAAAGGAAACTTTATTGAAAATAAAAGAAAACCATCAGACACTCTAAACTAAATGATACATGGTGCATTCAACTGATATAGGATTTTGAAATCTTGGCTCCCGCGGGCAGGTTGTTTATATAGCAATGAAGCAAAGGCCATCTACAACATCTCTCCATATACACTGTCTGCTGTGCACTGTCATTGCACAGTGCTCACTGTACTCAAGAGACAGGAGCAAAGCTGTAATCTTCACTTCTAGAAACACCTGGGCACATCCTCAGCAACAAACCATACTTCATTGTGCCTGTTAAACACCGTCATTGGACTGCAAGAAACAGACACACAACAATATAAACTCATCATCATTCAGGTTTTTTTCTGATCAACAAAAACAGAAAACATGGTGATTTGTTTACCTGTTATATCCAGCAGCATAGTGTGAGTCTTTTTGGTATGCTGCATGAACTGAGTTAAGGGCCGAGGACAGAGAGTTTGCTACAGATTTGTCAGAAAAGGTTAGGATCCATCCTCTATAGGTCTGTACATACACGTACATGTCTGGTGTGTCTTGGAAGTACACCTGCAAGGCAGCAAAGTTTCATTTTCTGCTGGAGCGTATGGTAGACTACAGAATCATTTCAAACAAACTAGTTGAAGGTTGAAATGATTTTTCCTGGCGTTTTTTGTGCTTGAGAAACTTACCTTATCATCAGTAGGTATGGGGGGATTTGTCTGATATTCAGCTGGCAGCAAGAAACTCGTTGTGAAGACACCTTTTTCCCAAAACATCTTGTCAGGTATTTTCACAATAACAGGAGCTGTCATTTCAATGTTCTCTTCTAAAGGCAAATATTAAGAAACATTTGAAATGTCACAAATTGGAAATACATAGCAAATCCACATAGAAAGAATAAGAAAACAGTAACATGCAGTGACTTTGACTTAAATATCCAATATAACCACAGTACTCTGGTCTCTGATGACAGCTAAATACAATAATTATGATGTCAGTTCTATGGACCACATGTTCATACTGAGGTTTTAAATACTACTCTTCCTGCAAATGGAATTAGTTAATAAAATTCTTGCAATTAACACATTTCTTTGTTGAGATTTTAAACATAGTCATTTGGAGGTAAAGTTTAACATTAACCATACAACATTTTTTTTTACATGTTTCAATAAAAAATGTAAATATATAACATAAATAAATGAGTGACTACACACTATTCTTGTTGTCACCAGTGATGTAGTTATACAGTCGTTTAAATGCTTTAGAAGATGCTAACTCCATGAAGTAGCTTTCCTCGTCAGTTGAAACCCATTTCACGGAGCTATAGTGGCGGACCTGGGACGCATAAGCAAACATGATTAAGTGGGCTTTTAAAAGTTTCTTACACCTGAAATGTGAAAAGATTTCTCTCTTGCTCAGAGACACTCACCTCATAGTTTTTAGTCTTACAAATCAAATCAAACAGCAGACACTGTGTTGTCTCAAAACAGAACGGTAACTGAGAGGAGTTTCTATAAAATTAAAGAGAAGAACATTAAGAGATATAAGCTGACAGCAATAATTACCTGGGCCAGGTTGTGGGTAAAAATGTGGTTAATATTGTCAGCTCCTCATTTAATCATCAATCTACTTCACAGATTATTAATTTTCCAATTTAAGTTGTGGAAACCACAGTGCCTGTAGTTTCAAAGCAATAACTGTTTTAGCCACATAGTTTTCATCAAATGCAGTGATATTCAGGTTTCTTACCCAACTCCAGCCTCAGCTGTCACCACCAGCAGAAAGCCAACAAGCCCTGACAGGTAAATCCTAACACACACACACACACACACACACACACACACACACACACACACACACACACACACACACACACACAGAGTGAACATACTGTACATCATTTCTTAGTATATACATTCAAATATTTCTATATAGTGATTTTCATCTAAGACGATCTGCAAAGTAAGATTGTACTTACATTGTGACAGAGTGTAGAGTGTGGGGTTCTGTGCATTCAAAAACTGGATGAGAACAGTCTGGTTCAAAGTAGCTTTTTCTTCCAAGTCTGGTTACAAAAGGCAAACTGGCCACTCCCTGAATGCATAACACAAATCAGACAGTGGGGTGTGAGGACTCAGAGCCAATGGAAACAAGGAAACCTGGAAAGAATCACAAAGCAGACACGTGTCATTTGCATGTTTTGTAGCCTCTGCAAGAAATAATATCTTTGTGTCTCTGTAAGGAGATCAGTGAATATCTACTTAGAACCACTGGACTTGGACTCTGTGCCAGGGGCTCAACACAATATAAAAATAATGTACTGTATATAGTTTAACACAGTCCAGTAGGACAGCACCACAAGGAATACCACCTATGTGAAGCAGTGCTCAGTGTTGATAACTTTTTACTTCATTGTCCAAACATTAACATTACGTCTCTGTATGGGGAATGTTGAACATACTGTTAATATAGAAAATTACCAGCCTTAGCCTTTAAATAAAGGTCAGTTAGAACTGCTCAACCTGGTTTTACATGTATACTTGTGTGCATATGGGTCAGTGGGTGATTGTGTGCATAATGGCAATATAGTCCTAATCTGACAGGCTGCAGTCCTCTTTTTATGCTTAAAATGACTGTCTAATCAGCCACAACACTAAACCCCTTGGCAGGTGAAGGAAAGATCTTCTCTTCATTAGGCCAGACACCAGAAGAGGTGGCTCAGGCAAGTAATGTCATGCTTCTACAGTATTTGGAGGGTAAAGTCACTAAAATAACTGGCTTTGACAAGGTATATGTTGAGGTATTTTTATTTCTATTATTCAACAAACAGTTAAAGTGATCACAGCCAAGGAGCCTCCTCTGCAGCACCAGACCAATCATCTGTACATGATCATGACAGTGCTGAAGCATGCAGATCCAACTGGTCGACTGCAGAGGAGGGCAGGAAGGAAATAAGGTTTGATTAATTTGTCAGTTGTCTGTAGTCACTGACTAGTAGCTGACTTTTTAGCTTACAGAACTTTCTTTCTTAACAACAGTGAACTTGAACTGGGACCATAGGATGTTGCCTGTTGTCTGTGTGAGACGGTAACTGCAAAAATAATCATGATTCCTCATTGACTGTATGCACATAACATATACAGTCTTATGCAAAAGTTTAGGCACCCCTTGATAAATAACAGATTTTGGTGATTTTTTATTTGAACAGATGTTAACACAGTTTCTCTTGGAAATGGAAAAAATGCACAATATTTTCTGCAAACAGTGATGCATAGTTACTTCTTATGCCATAAATTGAACAAAAATAAAAAATAAAAACATTATTATGGCATGGTGCAAAAGTTTGGGCACCCTAAGAGTTCCAGAGTCTCAAAGTCTCTCACAAGGTATCAGACCTTAATCAGCTCGTTAGATCTGATGCACAGCAACAGCTGTCATTGGTAAATGCCAATTTCAAAGCTGTACAAATACTTTGACTCTTCAAACCTTGTGCACACACTTGTGGACACCCAGCAACCATGGGTTCCTCTAAGCAGCTGTGTAAGACCCTGAAAATGAAAGTTATTGACGCCCACAATGCAGGAGAAGGCTACAAGAAGATAGCAAAGCGTTGTCAGCTTGCAGTTTCCACAGTAAGAAATGTAATTAAGAGATGGCAGATCAGGGGAACTGTGGAGGTCAAGATGAGATCTGGAAGACCAAGAAAACTCTCGGACAGAACTGCTCGTATGCTGGTCAGAAAGACAAATCAAAACCCCCATTTGACTGCAAAAAACCTGCAGGAAGATTTAGCAGACTCAGGAGTGGTGGTGCACCGTTCCACTGTGCAGCGATGCTTGCACAGACAAGGCCTTCATGGAAGAGTCAGCAGAAGAAAACCTTATCTGCGTCCCCATCATAAAATCCAACGTCTGAAGTATGCAACAGGACATCTACAGAAGCCCGATGCGTTTTGGAAACAAGTGCTGTGGACTGATGAAGTTAAAATAGAACTCTTTGGACACAATCAGCAAAGGCATGTTTGGAGAAAAAAAGGAGCAGCATTTCATGAAAAGAACACCTTGCCAACTATTAAGCATGGGGGTGGATCTATCATGCTCTGGGGTTGTGTTGCAGCCAGTGGCACAGGAAACATTGCACGGGTGGAGGGAAGAATGGATTCCACTAAATACCAGCAAATTCTGGAAGCAAACATCACACCATCTGTAAAAAAGCTGAAGCTGAAAAGAGGATGGCTTCTACAACAGGACAATGATCCTAAACATACCTCGAAATCCACTATGGAATACCTCAAGAGACGCAGGCTGAAGGTTTTGGAATGGCCATCACAGTCCCCTGATTTAAACATCATTGAAAATTTGTGGGTAGATCTTAAAAGAGCTGTGCATGCAAGACGACCAAAGAATATTACAGAACTAGAAGCCTTTTGCAAGGAAGAATGGGAGAAGATCCCAAGTACAAGAATTGAAAGACTTTTAGCTGGCTATGAAAAGCGTTTGCAAGCTGTGATATCTGCCAGAGGAGGTGTTACTAAGTACTGATTGTGTAGGGTGCCCAAACTTTTGCACCATGCCATAATAATGTTTTTATTTTTTATTTTTGTTCAATTTATGGCATAAGAAGTAACTATGCATCACTGTTTGCAGAAAATATTGTGCATTTTTTCCATTTCCAAGAGAAACTGTGTTAACATCTGTTCAAATAAAAAATCACCAAAATCTGTTATGTATCAAGGGGTGCCTAAACTTTTGCATAAGACTGTAAACACCAAACGGCAGACAGGCAGTGGACCTTATTCACTAACATGCGCATAGAAATGTTCTTACCTTGTGCACAAAATAAGTGCAGGAGACATTACCATCATATTCATGACACCAGCCAATTTTGTTCTTTCTATTGTGTGTATGTTAGTGTAAATCAGAATCATTCTAAAATGACAGGCGCATTCCAGTGGTTTTCAAGTAGCCTGCTGCCATGCCCCCATTTCTCTATATACTTATAAACTAGAACAGTTTTTTAAATTTAATTTATTTCAATTAAAACTGTGATTAATCAGAATGACAGGGCATTAATTTCATGTTTATTTAATATGCTACATTTGGTCAATGCATTAGTAAATTAATCATTATAGCCTTAAATTATATTAATCAATTATATTAGCTATTAAAACCTTTTTAATTAATATAGTTTCAGTTAAAATGTGTTTGCATTTTTTAGCCAGCCAGGCCTTCATCATTTGTTCATACACATGGGGTGAGGCAGTATTAAATTTGTTCACAGAGTATGAACAAATTAAGGTAAGAAAATATTGATACAGAATATTGAATAAAATTGTGCATAAATTGTTTGTATACACGGTTTCAGCACAGAATTGTGTGTACACACTGTTTGTGGACGAGGCTTGGTGCTAGCAGCTAACTGGTGAACATACTCAAGCAGTTCGTAGATTAAGAATCAGATATTTTGGAGTTGGTGGAGACCAAAAACAGAGCTAAAAGAAAGTACTGTATATATTGGACCTGATGACCAGACACGTGACTCCAAATGGCAATAATGCTCTGTAACTGCTGGGTGTGTAAATAAGCAACTGCTTGCTGACAGGTTCACAAATTCAACTTAAAAGGTGAAGATATGTCAATATTGAGTCCCCAGGCAGTGAAAAAGGCCATTATTGCAGATTTAAAGCTACAGTAATGAGGGCAGCAAAATGAGAAAGGTGATGCTCATATTTTTGAATGAGAATTAGTTTGTCATTGGACTCTGAAGTTCTCCTTACAGCTGGGCTTTTAGCATCCTTCACTGTTTTCATTCTATAGTCCACAACTTTGCTGTTTTGGTTCACTCTGAGCACTGTCATCAGTGATGTTATTGGACACGACACCCTATTTTTAATAAAGAATGGAAAATGGTTTGGAAATCACAGGCACAATTGTTTGTGTTGCAGCAGTCACAGGTAAATTGCCTTTTGTTGCAATAATCACAATGATCACATTGACATGTTGAGGCCCATATGTATTTAGTCTGTTTAGCCAGTTTTTTTTTTATTACATATCAAATAAGACAAAATAAGATGGTACAGTTTTGAATCATTTAAGGTTGTAGTGATATGGTACAGGGGTGTACTGAGTTTTGTTATATACTATATGTTCAGCTGCCTCCAGCTAATGTTCACTGTGCAGCTGTAACTATGAAGAGATTGAAAAGTGCACTTATGCTCTCTAGGCTGCAGGACTTACAGTACAGCACAGCAAATGAACTTAGCTGTAAACCTTTACTGCCATGCCTTCTCTGTGCTTACTTTTGTAGTAAATGTAATTTCAAGTCTTACTACCAATTTCATTATTTCACTCGTAATGAGAGTTGTTTAAATGAAGGACATTTCCATCAGCAGTCCCCAAGCTGAATAAGATGACCAGTAAAAGTTGAACAACTGCAGTGATCCATGCTATGAATTCAAGATGGTTAACACTAATTTAGGATACCTGTGTTTCGGCCTGTTCTTTTGCATTTGAATAAATAATCTCTTTGTGCTTCCTTGTCTTCTTTCCTTTTCTCATTATCTCACTATCAGAGGCACTCTCATTTCAGCCTGGGTACATTAATCATTCTTGAGGCCTCAGCTGGTTTCTGAGATTTAATCATTCAAAGAGGAATGGAATAAATATATTGGTGTTCTAATTTGATACTGTATGTGCAGATTAGATAACGGACACCCTGTGGTGAGAATCCAGACCAACCATTCTCAGCCATCCATCTATGTACCCGATGACTGGGGCCATGGCTGGAATGGAAGCAGCTGTTTTCATCCTTCTACCTATTATAATGGCTACATACAGTAGTTAAGAGGGACAATAGAATGAGATTTTGTGAGATCTCATTCTCTATCCAATAACCAGTGTAGTCTCTGTGCATGTGATTTATGCAAAACCTGAGGGAATGTTGTCCTCCTGCAAGGGGCTCATCTGCTTCATTCTAAACAAGAGATGAAGAAGTAAAATCTCATCTCTATTGGAGGCAGTTCCTGCTCTATTGGATCGAAGAGCTCCATGGACCGGAGTGAAGACCGTGGATCCTACATGAAATGATTAAAGGTTAATACATACTGATATATTCTTGCATACACGTAGGTGGTGTGAACTCAGGGGTGTTAAATGATTTTAATAATT